CACGAATAAAATAAAGAGTAACACATTGAAAAGAGCTTCCGCGTTCACTAAATCACGAAAAGTGTTGGCTTTAGTCAAACGAAAGCGCGGGAGAAACGTTTTTGGAAAAAAATATCTCGGAAAAACTTTCTTGGCCGGCGCCAAGGCATCGTCAAACAAGTCACGATGCGCCCGAGCCAAAACACAGATCTTTCGAGTGCGTGATCCTGCAAATTTCAAGGGACTCAAGGATATTTTCCCTTTTGTGACTTTTGCCGCTTGCTGGCGAAATATTCCTTTTCTTCGAAAAACGTAGATGTATCCCGTGGTGCTTTTGTTTGCCGCGTGGCGGTAACTCGTCCCCCCCCTTTCTTCATTTGTTTTCTTTGCACGATGCCTTTACTTTCGTAGCGTCGAGTTGGAAAATTTGGCGCCGTATTGACATTATCGTTGTTAATTAGATCTTGTTTACTATTAAAGGAGAAACTTTTGACTTTTCCGTCGGTGCGGGTGGTATTTCAGTTTGAAGAATTTCTTAACGAAAATGCTGTTTGATCCTGCTGATGAGTATCGACGCTTTTTGTGAATCAGTAGTTGTTTATATTTATGAAGTTACTTATATTGTTTACAATATACAGTAAAATCTTTCTCTTTACTGTAATAATTACGTTAAAAGTACGTTGATAATATGCGAAAAAGGCAGATTCATCATAGCACAGCAAAACCACGTTCCTAACTCTATTTAATCATTGATATTGTTTTAAAGCGGTTTTTTTTGGAATGGGCAAGTAACGGGAAAATCTGAGCGGGTCGCCACGGTAATTGCTGAAACGGTCTCGAGCTACTGCCTCACGGAGTATTTACAGTGTCATCGAGGCCTCACACCTCCGTCGGTTTTTCTCTCGGGTACATATTATATAAACGCGCGCGTCTAACTGCCTGTTCACCTTTTTCTTTTTAAATTCCTCGTTGAGAGAAGATTGATTCTCTGCAGAGTGTAAGAGTGCTTTTACGGTGAATGGGATGAAGGTTTTGAAAATTACTTCGCGTTAAATCTTTGAAATTGAAGTTTACGTCTTCAGTCACCAGAGAGACTGACAGCTGATGGGATTTCCGTAACGCGCGAGCGTCGCAGGTTTATTTTTCTACAACTATTAGTGTTGACAACCGTGCTCATCTCTCGTTTGTATTAATATTCAATTTCATGCTTGAATCAAATTGAAACTGTTATAAAATACACTGCATTCATAAAATAGTTCGATGCTTTGAGGTGCTGACATCCGTGAACGTTTATTCACAAATAAAAACCAGTTACGTAGATATTAACAGATTCAGTTATAATTCCAAACTTAATATCGTGGCAGATCTATAAACGATAGTTAATTAGCCATATATAATGGGCAATGTATCGAGTTCATTTCTTCTTCGTCTCTTTCTGAATACTTCGTACTGTCAGCTACGCTTGACAACATAATTTTCTTTATTTTTTAAGCTATTGGTTTATTTGATATCAAGCTTTTTGTAAGATATCTCCATATAAGAGATATCTTATTTTAATTTAACTATTTTTTATTCTTTTTCAATTGTTCATCCGGGACTATTTGAGGAATCCGTTTACATAAATTACATTTCAAATTTTTTCAAAATAAATTAACGGTGCCGAATGCACCGAAATTAATTCACAGAAGTTCATATGAAATATCGATTTATAATTCTCTTTATTGTTGATAATATTTATCCGAAGCTAACTTTACGACAAGATATTCAATAAATTTATATCTTTTATAAATAAATGTAAATAGAGTGCATTAAGATTATTTTATTGTATTATTTTAAAGTTAGACCGTTGAAAGAATGTGGGTGTCATTATCTTTTCAATGCCTACAAATTATTATGCTTATTTATATTAATGGAATATTGTTATTAATAGAATATTAATAGATGTAAAACTTTTCGATCTATTATTTAGTGCTGATAGACTTATAACAGTGACCCACGTGACTACATTCAGTCAATCAAATTACGAGTAATAAATGACTTCACTTGGCAGTCCATTATTTTTTTATATAGGAAAATAAAAATATATAGAAGCAGATGTACCTTGCACGCTTTTATCTTTTTTTTCACTTATTGTTGTAATATTTAACGAATTTAACATAAATTATTTTTTTCAAAGATGGATTTTTCAATATTTTTACAAAACAAAATTACAGTGGAAAAATGTATGAAACACCTTTTCAAATCCATGATTTATCATATCGAAAACTACTTTGGTCTTTTTTTAGCATAATGTCACAGCGCAACAGCTGCGAAGAGTGGTAATCAAGTTTACGATTGAATTTATGGGAACCAATACAATAAAATTTGTTTAAAAAAAAATTTCGATATTAGTTTCAATAATTTTGCGATAAATAAAAAGTGTGCTTATTATAAAGCTATAACAAAAATAAGTAATAGTAAGTTCAATACAATAATCAATAAAAAAAATCATTGTTGTAATATGAATGTAAGTTATAAACAGAGAACTATGGCTCTGAGTAAGAAAGGCAATTATGCACATGTATTTATTAATAACAAAAATTTTTCTTAAAAATATTTATTGTAAAATAAGCAGATTTACTCATTGGTAAAACTTATAGTTTCAACAAACTTAAAAAACTCTTTCATATCATTATCAAATGACGCAAAGAACAGATATGTTAACAAAATCAGTCTAATTAATAATTTTGATCCCTATACTTTTGCTGACCATAATTTTAAACTTTGATTTACAGCCTACAACACTTCATCATTGTATAAACTTATAGATAACTGTTATAAAACTGCTTTATACAGTAATTGAAATAACGTTCGATTTTGATATAATCAATTTATACCATAATAAATATATTTTTTCAATAAATTGTTTGAATTATTGTTTTGTATAAAACAACTATAACCTACATTAACATTGGATCAATTAGTTACTTATATAATTGATTATTGTATTCAACTTACTATTACTTATTTTTGTTATATTTTATAAATAAACTTTTTATTTATCGCAAAATTATTGAAACTAATATCGAAATTATTTTTTAATAAATTTTATTGTAATGATTCTCATAAGACTCAATGCAAACTTTGACCGCCACTCTTCGCAACTTTTGCGCTGTGACCATGTTAACAAAAGGTTTATAAAATAATCAATGCAATAATCTTTCTGTGTTTTTTTAACTTGTCAAATTATTGTTAAATCTTTAACCTAATTTTTTAATAAAGTTTGCGACATAACAGCCTTTATTTCAATCTTACACATTTAAAAACCAGATTATAGATTAGTAACAGAAAATATTTAGAATGATTTCAACCTCTGATTTTTACGAAACGATTTATTCGCTGCTAGAATCATAAAATGAGTGTATAAACAATAACAGTACAACTTAATTTTTTTTACTTTAATTATCTTCAAAATTACCCATATCAGTTATGATAAATTAAATTTTTATTACTAAATCTTAATTAGAAACCACATCTCTATAAGCTTATTTGTCGTCTCATAACAGTATATCACGTGATTATATTTCATACAATCAGATCACAAATAAAATACTTCAACATCGCATCCATCACTTTTTCATAAGGGTATTGGAAAGAACTTACCTCGCTAATCTATTGCTAAACTGTCGAAGATTGATAGAAATATTGGATGAATTGCTGATCGATGCGTGTCAGCAAAAATAAAATCAAAGCCCTCAAATAGAGTAGGAACACAGCCGAAGAGGAAGTTATGATACCTATTTTACATTTTTGTTTATATGGAAGTTTGCTTCAACAGTTAGAAGCATCATTGTCTCGATGTTGATAGAACCCGTAAACATGAAATTTATTGCTCTATAAGTATTTTACGAACCTGATTATGACGAATCCGGTCCAATTGTTGCGATTTCACATTCACAATCGTTGGTGCATCCGATGCCTTCCAGATAATACAGCGACTAACAGCAATAAGCATGCATTTACGATAAACAACAAAGTATTTCCACCAATCTATATATTAGAAGAAAAGCACGTTTGTAAAGACCATGCGACACATTTTTTGAGATACTATTTATTAACAAATCAAGTTTCAATAAACGAAAATTAAATTAAATTTAGCCTTGTAAATAGCGATTGCAAAAGCGATCGAATAAAGCTCGGGACTTGTTTACTTTTCGAAAATAGTAACTTCTCTTCTTTTTCGTGTCCTTAATGATATGCACGTATAATTAGTAATACAATACAATGGGCGCACGTGTGCGATCAGGGCGGACATTATATTTTAAAGTTTTTTACGATCGTCATAAAGAGGAAGCTGATACTTTTACCCTATATTTCATCAGTATTAAATTACACTTATTATAAAGTTGATGATTTCAAGCTAGTTGCCAACTTGTAGATTTTTTTGTAGGTAAATCTCACTTTGCACGATGATTGTGTTTGTCGATTTTTTTGAGTTACGAAAACTAAAGCAATTCAGGAGAATTATTACGACAATTTTATTATTTTGAGTCACTTCATTTTAAATATATTTTTATGAAATGCAATTTGAACAATTCTGATTATATTGATTTTAATAGGTAAAGAACAATCTGATAACTTAATTATTTAAAAAATATAAAAAAATAATGATACTACAATTATATATTTTTCAAATATAAATATGTAAATTGTCAAATGATTCATTATATTATGCAATAAATAGTACATATTTTGTGAAACACAAAACGATTCCCTTATTAATAATAATAATAATAAAAATTTATTCATCTTAGTAATAGTCCAAAATCAATACATAGTATTTCTTTTTAATTTCAATAGCTGGCTCCATCTACATGAAGTTGTAAGAAATTAACTAAAATATCTGTTGATAATTCAGTAAATTAAATATTTGTTATCAAAATATTTTACTTCCATAAAAATTATACAATTATAGAAATAAATTATCAAAATTATTCATAAAAATAATCAAATTTATTTTTATAAAAGAGTTTCTAAACGAATAACACTACAATACTTATATTAATAGCAATGATCTTATTGTTACTTCAACAGTATTTTAATATAATTAAAGAATTATTGTTCCTAAACTAAATTAATTAAAAAGTAAAAAATAAAGTCTATAACTAATTCACTTCGATTGCCTCAGCTTCCATTTCCTCGTCACTTTCTTCAATCCTATCATCATTTTCTTGTTCTTCTTCCAACTTCTTTCTCTCCTTGAGACCAGCAGCAGGTGATTTTACAAGAGACAGATCTCTTTGAACCTCCTTGATATCTCTGTCTTGTTCAAGTTCACGTCCCTTTCTTAGTCGTTGTAAAATGTGTGTATTGACTCTCTTTTGTCTAATGCTTTCAACCTTCTTCATAGCATCGATTGTCTGGGTCCATAATTCTCTGTTATATTTAACTGGAACATTTCTCCTTTTTTCAAATTCAAAGGTTGGATCAACAGCCAATTCCTTGCCAACTGTTTTCCTGTATGCCTTGGTCCATTTGACTTTTCTTGGATTCTTCTTCTTCTTGAAGGCTGCATGACACTTGGATCGACAGAATCTGAAGATCTGTAAAATATATTCAGGTTGTATAAAATGGTACATACATCTTCTAGCATGAATTATTAACACATATATCAATATAAATAATCAGCAATTGTTGAATGTTCATAGAAATGACATATGTCAAATAATATGTTGAACAATTAGAATTTATTTACTGCATAGGTCAATAAAAATTTACAAAACAAAAGTACAATAAATAGATTTATTGAATCACGTAAATTGTTTTCGTCAGGAATAAATTATTAGAAAAACAAAAGCAAAAATTACCAATACTCAGAGCTAACCAAAAAATTAATCTCATCAAAAATAAATTTATCTAGGCAAGAAATCTCACCTTGCAGTCGTTTCGAACGAATTGAATACCATGTCCAGGATATATCCTTGACGAACAAAAATAACACGTCTCAATCCTCATGGTTTCCTTCTTTTTTAATAGAAAAAATACGAGGAAAAATGCGTCGCAAGCAACGCAATTTACACTACACGTGTTCGATCTGGCAAAGTCGCATATAGAGCGCCACCTGAAATACAGTGGCGCGAACTTACGACTTTGAAGAGAGAAAGAAAAGTTCGAAATTCAGTTTATGCGTGCTTCACTGGTATATTTATTTGTTATCGTGATGAAGTTATTAAAATATAACTGTACGTGCAGAGGAGAATAATGTTTTCAGAAAACACGAAAAGATCTAATTGAACCTGCGACCAGCCAATGAACCGAGAAGAACGAACTTTTAGCGCTTCCCTCGTAGCGGACTAAAGCTACGCACGGGGATTAGCCAAGGCATTACCCGACGACCTGGAATCGCGACAACAGACCGCATAATTCCACAACGAATAATCGATGAGGCAGCGGAATGAGTAAACACGAGCGATGTCCTTCGTGGATAAAAAACAAAAGTCCATCATTCCCGTTCGGCGTTAACACCCTCGTCGTACTATCGACTTATTGCTGCTGTGCTATAGTTCGACTGGAAATCGATTGCGCGCGCGCGCGCGTGTGTGTGTGTGTGTGTGTGTGTGTGTGAGCGCGCGAGCGAGCACAGCTTAAGATATCGATTCGATGCGCGGGCACGAGATACTAATTTAATATTGAAAATACCGCGCGCTCTACTACACGTGAGAGACAGTCGCACGGAGACGAAGAGCACAGTGACACGTTAGCCGGCTTACGCGCTGGCTTATTTTTTCTTTTCCTTTCTTTGGGTTCTCGTTGCAATATCATGTGGAATTTCTTAATGCTGTCGGTGATCGTTACGATTGTTTCGTTGCTCTTCCGGCATCATCTTACCTCACCGATTAGCATCGTCGATCATCCCGAAACTAGTTATGACTATATCATTGGTGAGGATTTGTAGTGTTTTCGTTGTTACTTACGCCTTTTTACGTCTTGTTTTATGAGCTAATGCATTTCGGAATTTATTTATTTATTTTTTGAGTGTATATAATTACTATGCAATGTTTTGCAATGTGTGTCATGTACAAAAATTATATAGAAGTTTCTTGCTTTTCTCTCTCTCTCTCTCTCTCTCTCTGTCTTTTATCTGCCGAAGATTAATGATGAATCTGATGAAGCATTGATTTGTCGAAGACTATAAGAATAATCACGTTGCGGCGCGCCCGTATAGTTCTTCTTTCTATATAATATAATCAAACTGAGCGCGATCTACGAGGAAAAAAGGATGCTGTTTGATGAATTCAAAGTAATGTTGAAATAATTTTTATTAACGTTGCGTAACTGTTCAATGAACATATAAATGTATGATGCGAAGTGCTATGTAGCTTTACTGACAGAATTGGATTGTTCATTGAATTTAATTTTCATGACAATGTCGTTATCGTTCTTTGAAATTGTCAGTAAAAATTATTTGCAATGATGTTTTAGCGTTTTAAGTATTTATGCAGTAATGAATTTGATTGTGAATTTAAAATTTTATTTTTTTTGCAACCGAATTTCTACTCCATTGAAATAAAAATACACGAATCAAAATAGCGATTAAAGTGAGTATGTAAGACTGACAGATAAGTGATATATAAAAAATAATGAAGCATGAGTTTAAAACTTTGAAATTGAAGTCCAACCATCCGGTCGGAGGGATTGTCCGTAAAACTTGTGTAATCTATTAGCGTCGAAATTAGTGTTGAGTAACCATATAAAATTGAAAAAAAGCATACTCATGGCTTCGAAAGTAGGCGGTAAGATGGCAGAAAGTAAAATTCAGGTATAGAAAACTGACAAACAAGAGAGGTATATATATAAATACATGAGAAAATATACAGGAAATTAAGGAAATTAGTAAATGTACAAGCATAGAAAGATATGCGAAATTGAAATAGGAGAAGAGTTTCTATAGGAATTAGAGCCGGCAGTACATGTTGTGTCCAACGCCTCTCAGAGAAAAACAACAGTTGCTGCAAACCACTATAGAGGCAGCTGCGACACACCCTTTAGCTATTTCATTTGCGAATGAGAAATTTCATCTTAAAACAAAATAAAATTATTGAAATTTTGTTAATAAAAGAAAAATGATTATGTTCAAGTTGGAGCCGGCACCGCTGGTTGTGTTATGGCCTCTCGTTTATCCGAAAATTCAAATGTGTCAGTATTATTGGTAGAAGCTGGCGGATATTTCAACTGGTTGTCTTCCATACCTTTAGTAGCTCCCGGCCTGCAAAAGTCACAATTCGACTGGAGCTTTAAAACCGAGACGCAAAAATATTCTTCGAAAGGATTGTGGGATTACGTAGGTGCAGTTTTGCTCTAATTCTTTCTTTGAAGCTTAACTCGCATTACTTCATTCAAATCGAAAGTGTGCAAGGCTCGTTAAAAAAAAAAGCCAAAGCTCTGTTTACCCGCATTAAAAACAAAAATTCAATGATTCCGAAACAGCAACAAATAATCCCGCGCGGCAAAGGTCTCGGTGGCAGCGGTCAACTCAACTATTTAGTCCATTCATTCGGCCGTCCAGAGGATTACGATCATTGGCCACGAGGTTGGTCTTACAGCGACTTACGTCCATACTTCATACGCGTTGCCGAGACGATGCGGGTACGAGAGGCCGATGAGAGTATCGAACTCGTTCGCGCTTTAAGCATCGCCGAACGAGCGATGAACGAGACCGACGTCAAGTTCAGCAAAGCTCAGACTACGTTGTTCGAGGGTAGCAGATGGAGTACTTTTCATTCGCATCTGCAGCGCGCGTGGAACAGAAGAAATTTGCACATTTTGGTGAACACTTTAGTGACGAAGGTGAGACGTTCGTTGTATTTTTCTCGCTCGCGTGGAACTGCATTCTTATCGATCGCTTTTCCAAAATGAAAGGTGCTGCTGAACGTGACGAATCGAAGCGACGGCATCGAAATACGATACGTCGACGGGATAAGGGAAAAAATCGAAGCTCGGCGAGAAGTCGTACTTTGCGCGGGCGCAATTGGAACGCCTCACCTACTGCTGCTCTCCGGCATCGGGCCGGCCAACGATTTGCGGAAACTCAAGGTACAGTCGACGCTCAATTAACATCGACACGCGGAGCCCTAATGAACGCGCATCGTCTAAATTTCCAATAAAAATTCGTCGACACACACAGGTTGACGTGAGAATGGACATGCCGGCCGTTGGCAAAAATTACTTCGATCACTTGAATATGCCGGTATCAGTGAACGTCGATGCGCCAGTTAGCGTTACGCTGGCTAAACTGCAAACCTTTGCTACTCTCGCTGATTACTTTGTGTTCAAAACTGGTAATCATGTGCAATCTTATACAATTATCCGACCGTGCACTATATTTCGTTCGATCGGTCTCATGCATATTTTATTCGTGTTTTTTATTCCGATTTATTTCTTTGCCATTGCAAATTTATTATTGTCATCGTTGAACTGACGTTAAGTTATCATCTTATCACAGACATTTCTCAACGGTCAACAACTACAATTCAGCGCAATCGCAAAAATTAGCTTTTGACAGACTTATGGCACTCGTAAAAATCGGTTTTTTAACGTTTCTTGACAGTGCAAAAAAAACCACGAGACTGGCATATATCTGAAAAAGAATACATTCCATTCGGCTCGTAAATATTTGTCCTGCGTTCAAGGGTACCTTGCTACAAATGGAATAATGGGCATGGCACGTCTCGACAACAGCGGCGTAATACTCGCCGGCGTAGCTGCCAACGAGAAGCTACTCAAAGACCTAGCGAATTATCGTACAGAGGTAAATCGCAGTAGAAGCGAGAACATCAGCGTGGCCGCATCCAACGAAAACAAACGTCAGACTTTCAGGTCTCTCTACCCAACGTACAATGACACGGTGCGCGAGGGTTTCCTGCTCATGTCGAGTTGCCTTCAACCGCACAGTCGCGGCTACGTAGCTCTTCGCTCGCAAGAGCCGACCGACAGACCAATTATCGAGCCAGCATTTTTGGAGCGCCACCAAGACGTCGCGTGCACCACGAAAGGTACTACACACACACGCACACGCACATATTGATTTCGCTCGTTCCGTCTTTTCCGTGGAAACGACTGCCGCATAATTTCTGTCTCGTTTTATTTTACTTCTGTTTATGCAGAATTTTGAATTTTACAATTGGATTTGTTCATTTTGTGTGTGATATTGCAGCAATGTTGTTCTATAAAGTGTACTAATAAACGAAACAATTGATATGTAAACAAAAAAGAAAACACCTCAGAGGGAATAAAAGAAAAATTCGTCGAGTAGATACTTATTATGTTAGTCATGTCGCACTTTCCTCCAAAAGTCGCCCTCGATATCTCTGACTCACACCTGTTGCAGCGATAAGACTTGGCCTGTCGATCTTGGAAACACCGTTATTCCGTGAATTCGGAGCTGAAGTACACGTGCCTGATCTCGAAGAATGCCAGCATCTCCCACAGGATTACTACAATGATGCTTTTGCCGAGTGCGCGATAAGAACCTCGGCGCTTACTGCACATCATCCTTGTGGAACTTGCCGGATGGGAGAGAATCGCGATAACGAGACTGTCGTTGATGAGTTTTTAAGGTGAACTTTTATTTATTTCTATTAGGAAAAAATTCAATTTTTTTAATTAAAGATCACTAACGCGTCGAATTAATTTTTTCAAACTTTATAGGGAGGCAAAAAGATCAATCGGCTCTTGTAACACATTGACAATTAAAATCCTTTCAATTTTTGAGATCAATACATTTTCTCAATAATGCACCATTACAGTAAATCATTCAAAAACTAACTTTATTTAAAAATCTAAACAATTGAAATTTATAAACTTCATATTCAATCGTTATAACATTAATACGAGATAATATTCATTTTCTCATTGACATGACGTCTTGCAGGGTATACGGCATCGAGGGTCTGCGAATAGTCGACGCCAGTGTGTTTTCAGTCCCAATCTCAGGTAATCCAAATTCCGTGATTATCGCTCTCGCCGAGAAAGCTGCCGATATCATCTCGCAATCGACGGGATCAAGACGGTAATATGTAGGAGAAAAGAAACAAATTTACCGTCTCATTCTTTGCTGTGTGATTAACCAGTGCCTTTGCAAGTATATTTTTCAATAATAAAGTCATCTATTAAATGTACAATTCTCTCGGGGTGTAAGTTATATCGAAGAAACATTATTTTGTTCTTGAGAAAAAACGAGAGTTATTGATTTCTCTCTAATTGTACTACATACATAGTTAAAAAATCATTCGCACTGACGAAATAACAATCACATTAGGCAAAGATATTAATTACTAGCCAATTCCAATATTGATTTTTCGTTGATATTACTTTCATGAAATTTTGTGCATTTTTTTTTGTATGAAATGTCATGTGCATTAGAAAAGTTTGAAAAAGAATGAAAAAGCTTATCAATGTACATTCAAAAGTTACATATTCTTCCAACACAAAATTATCACCAAATGTGATTTTTTTAATAGTCAGCGCCTATAAATTATATATCATGTTCAAATCATTTTTAAATTATCATAATATTTATAATACATATAATTAATATATCCTATTTTTTAATAAACAGATTGATAATGTATTACCTCACCTAATAATATTATGCGTTGCATTTGTACATTATTAATTATTATTTAAATTTTTAAACGAGTGCATAGCAGTGTATCAGAATAACAAAGTGTAAAATTAATAATTAATATTATCATCGTTATATAAAATAAAATTTGTAATATATAATTTATTGAAAAAAAACTATTTTTGAGCGATTGGATTCTATAATAAAATAAAATAATATCGACTTTTATATTATGTAAGCGCGTAACATTAATTCGTTTTTGTTACACATAATGGTTTTTTTAATCGTAACAAAGGAAGCTTCTAGTATATATACTATTACCAGTCATGATTTCGTCTATTTATCAAACAGAAACCTTATACATAATTTACGCTAAAAATCCCTTTCACAATTCCAGTTAATACAAAGGAAAAGACATCGTATGTAACGCTACTTTTATAATCTATCTGAACTTCTTCTTCAACATTAATATAAAAACATATTTATAATAGTTAGCTTCAAAAGAGAGTAGCGTAAATAGAAAAATAATCTACTATTCTAGTTGTAGTGAATTAACAAACAATTTCTATAAAATATTCAATTTTAAGCAAGATTGAAATTGGGCTATTCCTAAGTCACAATTATGTGGTTAAAATATAAAAATATTTTCTTTTTAAGCCATAAGTTATTAGAAAAGTTATAATTGCCAAATCAGATTAGATATTTTACTTCCAAATATAAGCTATATAAAAAAATGTCGAAGAATTTGCCCATTTGCCATTCACGCTTGGAATGATATCGTTCTTATGTAGAAATTATTAAATACGTCAATAAGTTAACAATCATAAGAAACAATAAAAATCCGATAATTCATTTCTTGTGACTGCTGACACAGTTATGTTAATATGATCCTATTTGCAGTTTGTGCATTATGTGATATTAATTTTCTTTAACTGGTGTTACCAGTGAATTGTAACAGGCATCCAACTGCACCGAAGTATCCCTACGAAAAGAATTAACAAAATTAATTAAATTGTATAATTTTTTATTTAGTATTAAATATTTTTCAGTAATTTATTTACGCCAAACCTCGTGTTCTAAGAAAAGAGCTTTGAGTGTTCCTTTAGACCAATAATCCATGGCAGAAGCGAGTAATTTCATCGAAATAGGATTAACGCGTAAAAAGTTGCCAACAAAAACTACCTGCAAATTAGAAAAAAAGGAATTGGTATATTATAAAATTGAATGCCTATAATACTAAAATTTGTTATTGATAAGCTTACCCTCTCGATTTTTTCATTAACAGCGCACATCCTCGTGATAGAGCCGATATTATTTGTGATTGTGACGAGTGTTGCTCGGGCGAGATCTTCTTTAGAAACGGCATTTCTTCTGTCTTTAGAATTCATTTGCCCAAAGCTATAGACATCGTAAAAACTTAAAATACGTGCAATAATTAGAAAAAGAAAGATCTAAAAAGCAATCTGAAAAATAAATTAGTGGTGTGTTGTTAGTGGATTATGAGGTGGAAGCGTCTATTGGCGATTCTATATTATAATTGCGGAAAACAGTGCGCTTAAATAAGTAGAAAAGAGAATGATAAAAGGTTACAAGATGATTAAAAAAAGACAAAGCTAGCTTAAATAAATCCAGCTGAACACATTATTTTTACAAATACAACCGATTATTGAAAGCAATCAGTATTTAAATGATATTTTATTAATTAGTTATATTTTAGCAATTACAAAATCGTGCTTGAAAGAAAATTTTATAATTTTATAGATAAACTTAGAATTCAAAACCCAACTTTAAGTTTCATGCTAAATAAATATCTAGTTAATGAGAGCTGCATATATGAATAAAAACTCAGGATGCATAAGATGAATTACCTGCTCGCGACGAGATCCCCTGGTAAACCAAAACGACTATAGTCACCTCCGTAAATATCTTTGACCAACTTATCTACTCTATTACTATCCCCATGGGTGGCCAATTCTATTGCTTCCTCGAATGTATTACATCCAGTCAGTAGACAGCATAATCCTAAAAATGTACCTCCACCTAAACTGTAAAAAAATTACTTTTAATATCGTATTACCAGCAAATTCAAATTCAAAAAATGTAATAGAATTATTTAATTACCTAGTACCACTTATCCTTTTGTAGTTGTTTGGACCTTGTACAGTAAGGATGCTGACCCCGGAACCAATATTTACAAGCTGCAATGCAATTTAAAGTCGTTAGAATTCATAACAAGCCTGATTTCAATCAGAGCATTGAACTATTGGTTATTCGACATAACGATTTCGATTATTCATTTATTTAAATGTATTGAAATGAAAAGACCGTTTATCCTTTCCGAGTAAATGAGAAATCATAGTCTGACTACGCAAAAGTTCATTTTTCAACTACAGAGATAAATACCTATTCAAGTCTTTCACATATGAATAGGATGTCATCTCTATTAACTATCAAACTTTTGAACTTCGTGTCAATCTTATCACGATGAAAACATTACTTGAAAAAACAAAATAATAAATACAAGCGAGGACTAACCAGGAATGGATATGGCTCGGAGAAGTCATACGGCATCTTCTGACACTTATCGTCGTCAGTTGGATTCGCATAGTAGTAACATTCGTTTGGATTGTTCATTTCGATGTACAACATACCCTTAATCAGACTGTCCAACTCGTCGAACTTTGCCAAACTCAGATTAACTTCCTTTTTAAAGTTCTCTTCGAATTTGTAAGCTCCACCACCAGTTGCACATACCGTTGTCACCAACGTAGCCATACCTTTGGACTTTGCCAATGCTAAAAAATTACCCATCTCGCTCGTGGGGAATCTTATAAAGTGTAATGTACCACGTCTGCCTCGTATGTATACGTCGTCCATCTGTAAAAAACAAGTATTGCTCAACTAGTTTTTGCTTATTCACTTAAAAATACAATGCGTAGGCGACTCACTTGAAGATGCGCATCTCGGTGACCTGTCTTGCCATATGCAGAATTTTTAGTCAAATATTGACGAATATTTTTTAAAGTTTCGACTTCCGCGTCAGCTTCATCTTTTGTGATATATTTTGGCTCGAAATATACTAGTTTACAAAGTGTGCCACCAATGTCCATGCCGAACCATGGCATAGCTGAAAAATCGTTGAAAATCACCGGAATAAGACTGATTATTTATTGTGTTTTCAAGAATGCTGAATCATCGAAAATGATGGATTTTATCGTATTATTAATATAATAATTTAATATAGTACTGTAGAACATAAGAAAAAATAAATTGTTTAAGAAGGTTGACTTTTCCTACTATTTCGTTTTTTAAGAACGAAGTGGTTTTCTTTTGAAAAACGCCCGATTATGGCGCAGTGACAATGACGCAAGTTGATGACTATTCATGAATTTTCGGTTTTTTTGTGCTAACAAGCTTGTGTCACAGGCGACTATAGACGGGCCTTTTTTAACTTTAACAATCATTTACTTTAAATTTTCATTTTAAACTTTACTTGAAATTTTCAATGAACTTCACAATATATTTTTTACTTATAGAAATGAATAAAATCCATTGATTCTACAATTCTAACATGTTCTTGAATGTAATGTGTTGAATGTGTTAAAAGTTAAATTGGTAAGAAAAGTTATTCGTTACAATTCAATCTACATATAAATTTACGCTTTGTTATTGAAAATCATGTTATTTACTGAAGGAAATCTAATACAACATGGTTAGCGTACTACACTCTTTTATTAGTTTACTATAAGAGGGAGGGTGGTAAAGTATTGTGTAATAAAAAAATAAAGGTTGCTAATTCAAGCACACACATACAATTCCCAGACTCACAGGGTGGTGAGCTGTTTTTTGACTGCTTGACCGGCATAGCCGAAGCATTGGTATAACCATTTGAAGCCATGACCTCTTCATTAAGGCACTTTTCATAGTTTTGAGGCCTCATATTTATATTTGCCTGTTGCTTTCATTGAAAAGCCCAATTCAGCTGCACTTTTAGCTGTAACATACAATATAAATATTATTTATAAAAGGTACATCAGATGATATATTTATTTATTTTTATTATATATTGGAATCTGTTCCTATCAAATTGTCTGACACATTCAAATAATTTTATTTCAACGATGGTTTCATTTAAAGTATTGTATTCAAAACATTTTTTAAGTGTTTATACAATGACACATGTTATATTTTTTTACCATAAATAGAAACACAAATGACAGTTTTCAAAGGAATGCTTTTTCTACTGTACTATTAAAGTTATATTCAATATGTTTGCTGTAGGATCAAATTATTCCATATACTTTTCATGATTTATTTACATATTAGGTCTTCTATGAAGATAATTGAGAAAATAAAGATTAATTATTCATGGTACAAGTCACAAAATGTTGGTGAATAAGCTTAGCATTTAAATATATTTAATGTAAAGTTTCCTTTCTGCCAAATTGCAAAGAGACCCAAATTTTTTAAAAGCTACCAAACATGAGGAGACTAGTCTGTATAAATTTACATTTGTACTACCGACTGATACCCAAGTATTGTTCTGTTTCTGTTTGCTTCCTTTTGAAATTTTTTACACAGAAAATTTCCTTATACAAAAACAATAAATCTCTCTCTTACGCCTTAATGCTTTTGACACATGACATGAAAGCTAAGTCTACATCATTTCATACAATTTAATTTTTCTCTGCCTCATTTATAAGTCAAGGTTTTTCTAATGATTTTCATTACCTAGTGTCAGTCATTCATACAAGTGAATTTTGAGAAAACCATAGTAGAAATTGCAAGGTAGTTTGAAAAAACTTGCAAATCATGAAAAGCTAACAATCAGCTGATAAACGTCGCGAGCGCACGCTGTGCTGGGTATTACCTAATAACTATCAGTGGGAAAAGGCAGACGTGAAAAAATTTCTTCGGAGATATAAGTATGTATGTGTGTATATATACATCGTGCGCGCGGCGATGATATTATACTTTACTATATAACGGTACTCTCTTGAATGGAGCATTCCACGCACACAACATACAGCTGTCTCTCACCTGAGCCGAGCAGCATATTATATCGTGTATACACTTTTGGACACTATCAACTGCCGCAGTCGGCTATCTAAAAAATATACGAGTACAGAGAACACAGCACTTAACCTCAACAATCTGTCTTTAAGTTGTATCTCTCGTCTAGTGCAGTATATATACTACCTCGCAGTTTGTTTTTACGCGACTGCGCGACTGCTTGCCTGAGTCGCACTGGCCGTGTGGATCATCACCCGATGTGCGCACAGCAGCTACGACGGTACACGCGCGCCTGCGGCTAGGGAGAAGGGGTATAACCCGATGGTTACGTGCTTGGCTACTACAACGCATTTACACGTCCTTTCTGGATTTACATATGTGTGTTATATTATCGGCCTGACCTTTAACTCTAAAAATAGGTGTTGATTTGGTTTTTCTTCTACCTGATTGATCGTAAAGATTCGGCAAGATTCTTATTTGATTACTTATGGAAGAGGAGGATATAGACGCATTGAAAAATTAAATGTCTGGTCACAACTTTGGAAGGTCACGGAGATTATTTATAGTTATATGCACTACATACTACATATACCTTATAAGACTTTATTCAAAAACTTAGATTTATACGATGAATTAATGATAATAATCGAATATGTTTTTTTGTCAACGACATTTTTTGTTATATCATTTAGAAAATATTTTTTTATGTATGGAAAAATAAGGTTTTTTTTTTCGTTTAAATTGATGGATTCAGAGCATTTAATCATTACGTTAATCGAATTAGCAAAAAATATTTTAAAACAATAAATATTTTTAAAAAGTGTGAAATATGCAAACGGGAATTTTTTAAGAATAGAAAATAGAATATTGAACTGTTGTAGATTGATTATGAGCCAAAAATAAATAAATAAATGAATAATAAGAGCTTTCATTATAAAAATTAGGCTCTATTTATATACACATAAAAGTGCAAAGGTATTAATTTTTAAATTATTACGTTTCGATTTTTATAATTTATTTATTTAGTATTTACATTTTTTATAACTTTTTATCTCTCTAAATTATTATTAGATGCGATGTCATTTTACAAGTTCACGACAATGTAAATACAGTGTAATATGTACTAATGATCGGTTAATCTCATATATATTTGTCAGATTAATTTATAATTTTATGATGTTGCTAACAGTACAGATAATTAATTAATTAGGTTAACACATATGTATTTATCTTTCATATTCAATACTCGAATGTTCTCTTCAAATAAGGTGTGACAATCACGAGTGCAAACAAAAATGATTTAAACATGAAAATGTATATAGCATTTATAGTACGTGAATTTTTCATCCGAAGGTAGGGCGCGATTGACACACACACACACACACACCCACACACACACACACGCGCGCGTGTGAACTTCAGACTAATTAAGTCTGAAGTTTATCTGGTGTTTTGGCCGCAGCAAGACGAACTCTTTCTTATTTATCAATTTCACGTCGCGTAAGAAAGATTAGATTACTGACGATATCAAATATCAAACATCGTCTACAAGACTGTCTAAAGTAAATATAAATACTGTCAACTCATTATAACCTCGTCAAGGTTTATCCGACGGAATCCTCTAGCGAGACACGAAATCTCAGATTGGATTTTCTATCCAATCTGAGATCAATTTTTTGCGAAAGTGAAAAATAATCGAGACTAATCTGTAGTGTGAAGAAATGAATGCAACACTGCGAAACCACTACGGCAAGTATGTGAGCCATATTCCCGATGGGCTTCGCGAACTCTGCGCGGATATATCTCGGGAGGTCGAATATTTCATTCTTATTTGCAGCCAATAAAAGTTTTTTTATTTGCTTGCGTTTGTGTAGCGTGATTTCCGTGATCAGAGAGCAATAAAAAGATTTTTTCTTCGTTAGGTTATACGATCGCAACCCGACGATGTTTACTGTTTTATTGCCGATTACTTGGATACTTTGTTTATCACCCGTGAGAACGCTAAAGGTGAGCTCGCACGATGAAAAAAAAAAACTTTTACGATTCGATCGTTCCTGCCGTACCTCGTTGTAATTGAATTTTTCCCTGTCATTTCTAACGTTCGCGTCTTTCCCGCTGCCAAGTTGCCGTACAAATTGTGCAAAGCGTGACAAATAAGAGCGAGCATATAGTGGAGATCTTAGTGGGAACTGGCTTGAGATTGGAGGAAATCGCCGCAGTTGCACCGCGTCTACAGGTTATTTTCACATCTTTTGCCGCTTAGTTTATTTTCAATTTGGAAACTTATATGCAAGTGTCCCCGGTTCCTTTAGAAAGCGTTCAAGGTCTATTTAAATGCCAACGACGAACAGGAGACGGGATGTGGCTGTGACGGTAATCGATTTATTGCATTTTCATTGATACATACATCTCGATCCATTTTACTTTTCTTCTTGCTATTTCTTTGGCTTTACGCAACTTATTTTTTTAATATCTACATTTTAATGTCATAAATAAACCAATGTTCTCATTTTTCTTTTTCATGTAGATGATATCTTAGGTGGCAACGGAAAAGACATATCACTTTGCGAAATTTTGTTAACGACTGGAGCGAGTTACCGAGATGCACAACTAGCTGCTAGTAAAATTCAAGTATGACAATCATCGATCACTTAAAAAAAATCAATTTTTAATGAAATGTCAAAATCCCTCTAGAATTAGTTAATAATCAGTGTTGCATTTTTAAAACCGAAGGAAATTTCGTTTACACAGCTCATTTGAATAATAATTGTGAAGATTAGCTTAATCTTCGTAATTACGCACGAGATGCTTTTTTCTTGTCGCGCACTTATGAGATGTATTTCGATATTTCATCCAAGATTATTTTCGAACAAAAACGATAATTATCATCGAAGTGTAAACAAAATAATTATCTTATTAAAGAGATACGGCTGTCTATGCACGTCATTTCAATTAAAATTGTTTCTATCAAGGCAACATCACAATTAAAATTTTTTTCTTAGTTTTAAACTTTGCTCTTGCACTAAATTCGCTAAAACTTGTTGAAAAAAAACAATTGCTTATCCCCATTCCGAAGATATTCCAATCGAAGAACGAGTTGATTAAGTGCAGGAGAAACGATGTAGCAAAGCGTGACTGCCAAAAAACACGACGACGGCACGAAAAGCACGTTGTTTCACGCGCATTATAGTAAAAGCAACGCTGTTGTCTTCGATAGGCCTTATTCCGAAGATACCGCGAGCAAACGTTGCTCGCCGAGAGCCGAGGCGAAGTTCAATGGCAACGCGCCGCTGCTAAGACCGTGGACTTGTTGCGGAAGTCGGGGCTTACGCGAGTTCAAGCGTCGTACGCCGCTACAACTATTCAAGTATTCATCTATGTGCTTCGTATTCGTTGCTCAGTCGATGCAGTTCTGACTTCTTTGATTGCGCTTAGGCCGCTTACAGAGGATACTACACGAGGAAAAATTTGAGGATCGGTCGAGGTCAGCGTTGGCTACGGCGGAAATACTTTCTCGTATTAAAAACACCAAGAGATAATTAACTTTTCTATGCAGCTCGGGATGGAAAGGGACCGAAAGGGATTGTCGATATGTGTGCCTGGTACCGCCAGATGATTGAAGAATCCGGTATCACTTCTGAACGGGCAAATCGAGCAGCGATTGTCATTCAGGTTATTTCGAAAAAAAAACACATATACACCATTTTTCCTTTTACGTAACATACTACGTCGAAATTATACTCAAAAACAATCAGAAATTTTTTTCTTCAACAATCTCGAGTCGGATCGTTCGAGATTTCCTCGCATTAATTCAAACGAAACGTACAAGCGTAGATGTATATATATGTGAAGAGATACATGTGGAGTGCGCTAGTGAAAGCACACTTTTCGAGTGCTTTTCCTCGTAAATTTCATTTACTCCGAAATCTGAAGTAACTAATAGCGTACTTGCTGTTTGACGCCTATACCGAACAAGCACTTTCATATTTCAGAAGAAACTGGCTTGAAGCGTCGAAGCCCTTGTGATATGTAAATTCGTAGTTGATTTATTTTTTGAGTCAAGAAATTCATCCAAGTACGTGTAATTTCAGACTGCCTATAGGAAACATCTAAAGAGGAAATCAAGGGACCAGAGGTCGGTTTCATTAGAAATTTCGAAAGAGACACTCGAACCGTCAGAACGAAGTGAAGATGCCACTTCCGAAGGTTCACTTCTTTTTCTATGTTTCTTATTGTTATTCGCATTTGAGCACACGGATTATCGTTAATTTTGAAAGGTTCAGAAGACCATGAAAGCTCTGTGAAATCTCATTCGGAGATGGCACGTACTGAAGACGAGCTCGATGACGACGCAAAACTAGCTACCGAAGCGACTGAAGAACAAGCGCAGGTGCAAGAGGTAATCGATGCAGGAGCAAAGCCGCTCTTCGACACCAGCGATGCTGTGCCGATCGAAGACGTTGACCAAGTTGCTGATGAAGTTGAGGATCAGTCGGCCAAAGAGCCCGAGGGAGAGGAAAATACGGACGGCGATGAACAAGACAAAGAGCACGACGAAGTCGAAGAAAACGAAGAGGAACCCGTGGTGGAAGCGAAAAACGAAGATGCCGAAGAATAAAAAGCTTTCTGTATATGTTTTTGTGGGATAAAAAGAGCACGCGGCTAATTTACAAAACGGTCATAAAAAACCTTTATATCAAAAGAATATGGTGGTACATGTAGAGTCGCTATATATCGATACTAAAACAAAAGCAAAGTAAAAAAACAAATCTCGAAAAAGCCTGCTCAATAATACGAATATCTGCTGGATATTCTCTTGCAAGCCGTCTTCCCCTTAGCTCTCCGCGTTTCGACGTCGCGGCTTGGATCCTTTTTGGCGTACTGCTCCTGCAGAATCGACAGCGAGTCCTTGTGCGCCAACGTCGCCGAGGCATCTTCGTTGTCGTCATTGTCGTCGTTATAGTCGTTGTCGTCGTCGTTGTCGTTGTCGTTGTCGTCGTCGTTGTCGTTGTTGTCGTTGTCGTTGTCGTTGTCGTCGTCGTCGTCGTCGCCGCCACCGCCGCCGCCGCCGCCGTCGTAGTCTTCGTAACGCTTTTGCGTGAAAATGCCGGAGTCGCGCGAGCACGTGACCGACGGGCTGCTGGAGAGACGTTTCCCGTTACAAACCGAGCAGCGTTTCTTCTTTGAGCGCCGACGCCTGCAGCTGGGACACGCTTCGCGCGCGATCGCTGTGCAATCTTGCCTGCGACGGGAGTGGAGAGTCATCGGAATTAATTTTCGCGCGATTTCACGAGCGTTTCGACATCACACCCACCAAGTCAAGCAGCACCGAGCGCAGCAGCAGTAGCACGTCCGACAGCAGCTGCAGTGCCGGCGATAATGCTGACAGTGAGCGCAATGCTCGTGCCACTGACAGCTGCTGCTGCTGCTGCTGCTCGAGTACAACTCAAATCGCTGGTCCTCGCAGACGTGGCCCGAGTGTCGGTGCGAGCTCTTCTTGCACCTGTGCAACTGTCGCTTTCGGCGCGCGGCTGTCTCTTCGTATCCGCGCGTCGGCGTTTCGACGACCTCCATGTCTGCTGGAAAATTGGCGATCTCGTTGACCCGCGGTACGTCGCTCGAGAGCTCGCTTATCGTCGGCATTACCGCAATTGTCCCAGCGATTGCATTCGTGGTTCCAGATCAGGCCGATGCTTCGACGAGTCTCGCGATACGCGTAATTCGCAGGCTCCGGTTTTGCCGGCGATCCACTGTGCAAAGCTCCGAATGCATTATTTGCAAGCGAGTGCAGACTTACGTGTGCGCGGCTAGAGACGACAACCTTTCGTTGGCGCGCGCTTGCTCCCCGCGATACAGGCTCTCGCATTTTTCGCGCTCGTCCGCAGTCGGACGCTCGGCTCTCAAACGTAAGCCGACAAAGTTTTCCGATTGGTCTTGGCATTGGTCACGGACGATTTCAGGCTCCTCGGTAAGCTTGACTTCCTTGAACGAGTCGATCAATCCAGTCTCCACGTCCTCCGGTATTGACCGGTGGTACATTTTTTCATCGACGGGATCGACCGGTTTGTCGGTTGATTTTGAATCTTGCTCATTTTTTTCACAGCTGAACGAGTCTTCATTCTGAGATCATTGCATGCGAGCGTTATTCGTGAATTATGTCCGAGTGTGTCGCGTGATAATTACTTCGGAGCTTTCCTTTTCGACGCGGTTCGAACTGAGCCCGAAGTTTTTCGGAAACTTGCGACGAGCTCTTTTGAAGGCGATCGACATGGCTGTTTTAGAGGACGATGGTCTAACGCTTTCCGACATGATCGTTCGAAAGATTGTTCTTCACCATTGATGTTTATCACGAGACACTAAGAGACAGAACATTGGTTAGAAAACTCACCAACCTAAACGTGTCTGAAAATCATTAAGAGTTTACCGCTTTTGACATAAAAAGTTTATAGTAAGCAACTTCATGCTTTAATAAACATTACCAATATAACCAAATGAAATACTTTTTCTGTATTGGATTGCATAAAATACTTATCAATTAAGTCTTTTAAGACGACATGACCTTAAGACTATATAACATTATGCCTAAAAACTCAAATCTAACGACGTTGCAAAACTAACGGGTTTGACCGAAATTTCATCGGGAGATCGAAATTTTTACTATTGCATTCTGAATGTTTAAAAAAACGGCATTCAATTAATGTATCAGATTTATTTGTGAAATTCGCTATATATACTTGCAAGATAACTACTTTTAACGACGAAAAGATATGTTCTATGGTTATAAAAAGGAATATTCTTGATACGAAGGTAATTATTTTTATGCCGAAGAATTCTCCCGTTGTTAAATGTTTCTTATAGCTTGGTGCGGAATGCTGCTTTTCCGTAGTTATCAAATTGAGACGTTTATATGCGATTACAGGCTCGGAAAACAACTGCTGTAATCTTATTATATGATATGACAATCCCGTTAAGCTAATTCTCTTGAGCAAATTCTCTCGCAAATAATATAAATATCTCTTGTTACAAGATAATTTTCTTCCATGCAACCGGGAGTTGGCATTTACAGCAATTTTAGAAATTAGCAAAATAATATCGTTCCGTATGAAAATACTTGACAGCAACATGATGGAATTCAACTTAAAATTGGCATAAGATTCATAGATTTTAACGAACTAGCGCACCCATGTTTACGAGAGCGATTAATACTCTTAGCGATTTAATAATTATCAGTTTAAGCTCAAAATCATCTCGCATAGATAAAATATATGCATCAACTGTAAGCATAACAACGCTGTACGCCGTTTTCTGTATATTTTTTCTAAAAATATTTTTGCAAATAAAAGTAAATCATATTCTATAAGAGTTCATACTTTTATTTTTGAAATTGCCATCAGATTTATGGATCTTATCAAGTTAGCGCGACTATGTTTATACATGTTCTTGTAAAAATTTGTTGTTTATAAGAGTTGTCATTGTTAATTATTAGGTTTTGCTCAAATCATTTCATTGTTATACATGCTGTTAAAATATTTTTAAAGTGTCATGAATAACATTTTCAGTTTTGTGTGTATTTTACTATTTTTTTATTCTTGCAGTAGAAAACAATTAATTTTTTACAACAAGAGCAAATCTTGTTGAATGCTAGTTTACAAAGACACTCTGGCGAAAGAAATCCTCTTGAATGTTTCGTTGTAATGATAGCTGAAGAAGAAAAGATGCATCTTATAAACGCCTTAAATACGTTGCAAGATGAAGGGAGGAAAAAATGTATCCGTTTTCAGCCAAATTTTCTGACGTTTTTCCGAGTGTCAGTGTGTTTGAAGTATTTATATATTCAAATCGTGTCCGCTGTCGAACCGGCTCTTCTCATAAGCCATGCTCTCTCTCTCGTTCGAATTGACTTGTCAGCGTTTTCGGAACATCCTGCCCTTGTGATTTTCTCGCGGGAACGACGGAGCCTATAAAAGCGTCGGCATGACACGACGAAGAAATCAGTGTTGTTGGACCCTTTGTTCTGACAATACGCATTTGCGTGGCTTCGAACGAATTCTTCTGGAAGGATATCATCGGTAAGTGTAATTCAAATAATCCATTGGCATTATTTCTCGTACGTTCATGATACGACTGATGAGTCGCGCTTGTGCATAACTTTCGAACTTTTATTTGTTCATTGAACAGAGTATTTTTTGTTATTTTTACTGCGTGCACGTAAAGTTGACGTGGTGATTACAAACGATGACTCAAGCTAATGTTATAAAATCCACTTCGTTACTCGATTCGTTGTGCACCAATTCGAACTGTACGTTCTTGTACTCGAGTTTTGAATAATGATTGCTATTTCACGTTTCTAATTAAAGCACCAAATAACTTTGTTGAATTGCCAAGAGAAACTATCAGAAAGTAACCATGATCATCAAGCTAGTAGTCCAATATACGGATCTACATATTAGCGCTCAAATGGTCATCTTTGGACTGCGCAATATCGTTCGACAAGTATATAAAATTTCAATAAATATACACACGTTCAATCTACTTAGCATAATAAAATAATAAAATTTATGAATTTATGCACAGCCAGTTTTAGCACTAGCGTCTTTAGCGTCGTTATGAGCTACTGCAATACGAATTATTATCAATTCCAGCCGAAATGGAGCTCGAACCGCTTGAGGTTTGTCCCTACGACCCGTCGCATCATATTCGCAAGTCCCGTCTGCAGCGGCATTTAACGATCTGCTCCAAAAATCATCCCAATTCCAACATGAAACGCTGCCACTTCAATGCCTCTCACATCGTGAAGAAAGTCGATTTTGAGGTGAGTGACGGGGCTGATTTTGACATTACGTGGCCTCTCGGCGACGATTATCGGTCGTCGAGGCGCATCCGAGAAATATCCGATTAAAGATGTCGCTCTTCTGGCAGAAACACCTGCTCGAGTGCCCAGACCGGGAAGCTGTGCTGGGCGCGTCAAGCGACGATCCAGATATCCTTACGCCCATGGATGCACTCGCGAATGCAGATCCCAACGGCTGGGGAGAAGGCGCCTGGGGAAACGTGAGTTCGCTCTTCTTCGAGTGCCCGCAACGCGCTGGCGGCGCGCCCACGCGAGCTCGATAATCGCATGTCGATTCTCTTGCAGGAGAGTGCTGGCGAGACTTACAAACCAATCGAGGCTATGAAGGACCGGGCGATCCCGCATGCAAAAATTGCCTTGTCGAAAGCCCAGCGCAGAGAGCACCGTCATCAAGAGAGAAGGAGATGCAACGAGGTGATTAATAAGGAGCAGGTGAAGACGGGCAACCGGCGCTCCGTGTGATTGCTAGTATTCCATTCGGCGTAATGCTGCGTTTGCCGACCTTTTATCAATTTTATTGCAGCACAATGACTGATTTTTACGACTGATTTTACACCCCGACTGATAAATTTCGCTAGCAATAAACGATTTTTTATTTTTAACGATGACCTTTTAGTTATTGCAGTTACCATCAATCAGTTATCATCCGAAGTCGTCATGCTGCTTCATTTGTATATGCTCGATCAAACACTCGACTTCTATCTATATTACGAACTCTTGCGCTCTTCGTGCTTAGCAAATATTCGGAATCGGAAATGGGACAACTAATGACTTTGGTATCGACGCTGCTATAAATCCTAAATTAACGTAAGAAATACAAAGGAAAGACTTATTGAAATTCTACGCTCGTGACTCGTATTGGCTACATAGAAACAATAATTTCAGTTTTAACGTCGTATGTATTTCACGATTCAAATCTTTTAGCAAAATTATCAAGCGCTTTAACGTGTTTAGATTCTCGTTTTACAGCGTACGCCATGGCTAGCTATACCGCAGAATTAGAGGAGCCACGTTCGACAAACTGAATCATTATATTGTATGTGGATTAAACGATACCGCTACTCGCGAAATCTATCGTTAAAGTCGGTTTTCATAAATATTGGTGTGTCAATATGTATCTCTTCATTATCGGTGATTTCGCGTTGTTCTAAATGGACTTCGATTAATTTAATCTTTTATCACGATCGAAATTTTCGTATGAATTCTCTTCGGTGATACGTATTAAAAGAATTTACAAATGTAAATTTCGAGCCGAGTGGAATGCGCACTATCTCGTTGGCTTTTCCATGCGCAGTTGTTTGACAATCATTAGCTTGTCGAACGCGCGCGTCAGCGACGGCTGAGACACTACGCGAATGCCAACACACCGACGTCGTCAGTAGGAATGAGCAGGCGTCCGAAATTTCTCCGCGCTCGCCCCGTCGTAATAACTCACTTCGCTTTCGCTTGAGTGATCATTATGCACCGAAAAAAGTCAATTGACTCGTCGCAACGACCAATTGTGTAAGCTACAGCTGGTAAGTACCTAACATGGCCGTGTGAAAAAGGGAACGTTTTCATCTGCGCTGCGCGCTTTCCATTCAACGTCCTCTTTTCTCGATTTGAAAATTGTATCTATACGTTGCGGGGCCTTAACGGAGTACGGACTGCCGAATCTATAATTTTCTAAGTAGACCCGTAGACGCTTGCAATACCTGAAATCGGGCAATTGGCAGGATGAGTTGTCGGTTTGCGAACTAAAGAGCAGGACTAAAGGGGGAAGCTACAATATTGATGAGACACTTTTATTAATAATTATTAGGGTAATGCATTCGTTGTTATCCAGTATAATATTTGTCATTATGAAATGGAGATCAACGTAAGTATCAACTGGCGATTGATGAAATATCTGATTTCATTGCTCACGTGTGTCAACAATCATTTATCATCAGAGATTAACACGTTTCTCTTATCAATTACATCAACATTTCAAGCAGAGCATCAGCTTCATTGCACGTGCACGTACGTATAAATAATTGCATTGGATTACGCAAGAGTGATATGGCGCTCGCATCCGTCTCGAATCCTAATACACTACTGGACTAGTAGGTGTAATATTCGTTTGTTATGGCGCCGAGCGTCTGCCTCGGCAGAGTGGGGCGAGAAAGGCCACGCCTATTTGTTATTGCTACGGGTCTCCATTCCAATCGCAAGTGTTAGTTCGAGCGACGGTGCCAGAAAGCTTGACGAATCCGTCGATTACACTACGATGGAACTGGAATTTCCGCCCGCGCGAACGTGAGCGCACTTGCGAATGGGGCGCCCGACCGCACGCGATGGATTTCTTTTTTGTTGCTCGCTTCAACATCAAAGACGCGCGTTCTGCTTTTCCTCGCAATCTGTTGCTTAGACCGTAATAATTAAGAACGATCGAACATGGGCGCCAGAGTGGCGGCAACGGCTTTCTGTTAACGAATGTATATTGGATACAGTACACGTGTCTTGTTTTCAGGCGATTTCTTTGCCTCGGCTGTTAGACCATATAAGTAATAACAGTTAGTTGTTCATTGGACCTTGTCATGAGCAATGAGAATCAAACATAACTAAATAACGAATCCGAGACCTTCGATTCGAATACAAAATTAAACTCCATTCTTATACTTTCAACTACGCGATGAATACGGTTCTATGTTTTCACTTATGCGATCTATTCTCGGCGAATGCGCTCTTATGCGTCTTGATGTGCGATTTTGAAACTCATTTGTTCTATCGCTCAATCAACACAGAATGTCTGCATTTTTATAAATAATTGGGTTATTGAAAGGGCCGGCTGCGTCTACCTAACGTTGAAAGACTGGGCTAAAGAAGAACCCGCCGAAGTAACTCCTTTCTATTGAAAATCAGAAGGCTAAAGTGGAAGTACTCAAGGATGAACCGATATAACGAAAAAAAGTTTGTTCTTTTCGGCATTCATAACACGAGTCTGCCGAGTATCGAACATGCTAGGACAGCGAATGCCGATGAAGAATTGATGCCTATTTCAAGCTCATCGCTACAACAGCGACACCACAGGGAGACACACGACCAAAGTGAGCTTTCCCGATATTGGAATACCATGGGTGTTTTCCTGAGAATCGAAAATAATACTTCAGATCCAGCTGTTTTATTCGGAACATGTACCCATAATGCATATGCGTTACATAAAGGTTATGTAAGTCCTTGTGTATAACGCGCAGGTTAGCGGAAAAAAAACTCTTGAACAGAGTCGGAGGCGTCATTTTAGAGCACGCGAACCACTTGAGGTATTATTACTGAATGAAGTCGTCGTTAACTAAAATCTTTTGGAATACCCGCCCAGCCGTAAGTGACTTGACCATTTCTGATAGCGAGGGAATATCTGCACGAACACAGTGGTGCCCTGAATTGGTCGCCAAATGCAATGGAAGAAGAGAAATTCTGAAGACATATTCGAATGCGATTGGCGGTTTTGTAGATTTGAACTGCGAATCGCAATTGAAATGAGTTAAGTAGCGAGCAGAATTGGCCACGCGGATAAGACAAAAAGACTGGCAGACACTTTCCAGATTTTCCAGCGTAAACTTTCGAGCGTATAAATAGTAGAACTTGGGAATTGCCCATACGCTATCGCTAAGGCCTCTTTGACGACTTGGGGTTTAGCGATGTTCACTATAGCAGTCCATACGTGATTGACGTAAGCAATAGGACGCTCTGTGAGTCGGTTCTTCAATTTGCGCGATAACACAGCGAGAGATAAATGAAGAGAAGTATCGTACGGCATAAAACATGTGCATGTCTCGGAGTGTGGGCGAGCAGTCTTTGCGAGATCCGGAATGAAAGCAGTGTACCGCGCAAATTTTACGATGGAAAGCGTTTCACTCTTCAACAGTGGAAGTGTTTCAACACTGACTTGTGTATGCTGTGAGCGTCGGTGCGACGGCCTAGAATCGCTACTGCATTTGCAGCAAAAGACAATTTATCGCTATTGAGACCAAGTCCGAGCATCGAATGTTTTCACTGGCTCTTCGTTTGGCTATTAGCAAATCGTAAAGTATCGTCGAAAAAATTATGCACCTCATACCAAATTTGACGTACGCTCGGCTTAGTTCGTACTTCATTCTTGCGTTGGCCGAATCAGTGGTAAGTCTGTGTATTATGCGTCGATGACGTCGAGACGGCGAAACACACCGTGCTACTTTTATTTTGCTCAAGATGTGTTCAGATTTCAGAATAGGGTACAATCATTTGACGATTCCAAGTTGGTTTATCGTTACCAGTGATGCGCATCTTGTCATTTGACTTGGAACCACGTGCCCATTTGAGATGATCGGTTAGGTTGAAAAATTCTTCTTATTTTTATTTCTTTTAATCAATGAATATGCACTTTTCTAGTATAAAAAAAATCAATCACTCAGATGGAGAAAAACCACTAGGTACAGATTTACAAAAAAAAAATACAATAATTTGAACGGTAAACGAATCAGATTACAGCATAACGAAGAGGTGAAATCGCAAAGCTCGTTATATGATTATGCAGAAATGGATCGAACGGCCATTCAATATAAAAAAACTGGAAAGGCTTACCGTACTCCTGAGCCAATGCAACGCAACGTGCACTGTGCCTATAGGACAACGAGGCACCAACGTTCTGGCACCAACAGCAATGGCTCGATTCGGGAACGCCTCAGAGGTTACCGAAAGCACTCGTATAAGCCGGCCTGCCAAGTTGCACTCTCATGTAAGTATAATAAAGCACGATAAACGCACGATAAACAACAGTAGACACGGAATGGTGTACATTAATAGACGCAGAAACACGAGAGAGGTTCTCTCGTCACGATTTCCTCGGAGAAACTGCTCGAAACGCATCTCTGAATGGGCTTAAATCGAGCAAAAAGGGTACGCCCAGCTCCTTTCAAACCCATTGCGGCTCAACTAGTACCGAGGGGCATCTCATTTAGAAAGGCCACGTGGGCTGAAGGTCTATCGTTTTGTTTGCTATTTTTTTTATAGCGTCGGTCCAAACGGGACACGTGTTCGCTTTTGCCTAGAGTTGTCTGTCAGATCCGAAAGTTTCGTGAGGCACGTGCTCTGTTTACGCTGTACGCACTGTCACAGATTTGACACGTTTTACCTTTATGTTTATTGGTTCTTGGAACGCAGGCCGTGAACACTTAAATCATTTGGAGGTTTCATTTATTGCTGATTCTCACCACTCCTCTGTTTGATCAATTTTACATGAAAACAATATTAATTATCAGCTCGATCGATTGTCTAATTAATGTATTTTGCGAACCAACGTAAATCGCAATTAGAATTTCTCTTTTGTACGTATTTCTGAACTTCGAAAGTAAGTTATCTCTAGAACTTCTAATGATCTTCTAATGACGCATAGATTATAGCAATTAAATATTGACAATTTAATTCATAAATATTGAACTATTGCGATTTATTACGAGACTCGTGAATCAATAGAAGCGCAATTATCAATAAATTAATTGCAATTTATTATCTGAAAAGAATTCTAATTTGATCGATTACAGTAGCAGACATTCCTATAAAAGCTGTCTTTGACACTCAAATCATTACAGTAAACGCATATTTTAATAATATTTAATAATAACAAAAGTAAATTGCACAATTTTATTATCATTATTAGCTGTCGCTGAAGTTATGAAGTGTTGTTACATGTCAAACAAAATTTATTTGAAATAAACTTTATTACACCAAGTTTATTTATTATCTGTCTTATATTTTAAGACAATGAGTAAATGCCATTTCTATATGAAATAAGCACATGACATTCGGGAGAATACTCAAGTGCGTATTTTTTCTTTGTTTTAAAATGTGATAAACAGATTAGGGTTTATTTATGCATTCGTTAGTTTATGTTTTTTAAATCTGGTGTTTGCAATGGTTGTCTTGAGGAGATTGCTGATAAAATAATTTGGGTGGTTTCGCAGTCTCGTGATATATTCTTCGTAAAATTTTGTAATTTCTTCTTTAACTGTTGGAACCTGTAGGCCATTTCGAATAATTTCGTTTGGAACTAACTATGAGGCTGGTACGATGTTACGTATAAGACTTTCGATTGAAATCTTTCCAGGATTTCAATATTCAAGTTTGAAGCAGCACGCCATAGTTGAATGCCATAAGTCCAAATTGGTATGAGTACAATTTTAAAATAAAATAAAATAGTAAATTTTAACGCAAGGTGGAGTATTAAAGGATGGCATTCTTACTCTATTTGTAAATGTACAGAACGTAACCGAAAAAGAAATTGCATGGAGAATATTCACTAATAACAGATATATTACGTGCAGATCAAAATCAATTGTAAAGTGATTTTACCTTAAAGGTTTCGCTCTACCGGGTTACTGATTCTCATCACTTCTGCGGTGGATCATCATTACCGTAGCACATTCCCAGGCAACATTGGTTGTACCCAGTACGTACCTGCCACCAGTTTTTTGGAACGTTATCATTAAATGTGGTACTAGTAGGACTGGTGGCAGGAACGTACCTGTCAGGTGTAAATGTCCGCTTAAGTAGCAAGAACATTGTTGCCGGTACGTACCAAGCTCGTACCCAAAGACACGATAATGGTACATTGTTGCTACCTTCTGTCAACTAATGTTTGGTACGTACCGGCAACGATGTTCTTGCTACTTAACCGGACATTTACACCTGGCAGGTACGTTCCTGCCACCAGTCCTACCAGTACCAGTCCTACGGGTACGTACCTGGTACAACAAATGTTGCCTGGGTATTGTCTTACCGGGTATTAATTTAATCATTGAAAATTATTAGTACTCTATTTAACGTATCAGTCAAAGTGATTTTGCTTATATTTTTCACTTGAATCAATTTCAGGAGGTCAACAGAGCACTAAATATCCGTATTTACCGGGACTACGATCTCTTAAAATTATGGATAAATGATGTTGCTTTAATAAAGGTAATTAATACATTTATGTGAATTTCTTTCTTGTTTGTATCTTGGATTCTTGTATGTCTTTGTAGGGTTTTGATATAAATTCACGTTTTTTAAAATATATTTATTTTTTTACATTTCTAAATTAAATCATCACACTCCAAGACGTGCGGATAATCGATTGTGATACACGAAATAAACGTGCAATGTTTTGATTCTATTTGTTTAGATAAATAAAGTTGCCTACAGCATTTTATATAATCTCTAACAAATATATCTTATATATCTTTATGCGTTTTTTCTAAGCTGAATGGGCCTTCACGGTATTATCTCAAAGTTTATAAAACTCAAATATGCGCTCACGATCCAATTGTGAAAGATGAACCATGCTATGAAAGTATCAAATTATTGAATTCATTTATGTAACATCTGCTAAATCTAATACTACGCGTAACAAAATAAGAGCAAATGTCGATTATAATTTAGACTAATTACGACAAAAAAATATGATAATAAATGTTTTATTTAATTTCAGATCATAAAAAATTTTTAAATAAAATTTGAACACGAAGCGTTACACGTCGAGTATCAATGTTTAAATATAGTTTGTTTGAGCTATTGCAATTCAATAAAAAGACAGTCGTTTATTTGTTTGGATTTATTTTTTCACTATTGAAATATAAAATACAATTCGATAACAATACGGTGATCAATAAATAAAATGTCGCACCCAAAAAACATATTCCAGCATTTTTCGAGCAGTGCAGAATTGCCCTCGGAGGTAAATTTTAACACTGAATATGCCGTCTTTGAAGATTTTGGAGTTACAGCAAGCTTCCTTATCATTATTATTTCTTTTTAATTTGAATACACTTAATACTAGCGTATTGGAATAAAGTGACTTTCTTATACTCCAAACTCTTCAATGAAACTATTTACAACGCGACCATACTTAACACATATAAGTTCAGAGAATCGCCGTAAGTTTTTTTTTCAATCGTTTCTTTTCTTTCGCTCAATGGCAACAGCATTAATCTGCTTATCACTTATTACGATGGTTACGCCATCAACTTTTATCTATTTACAAAAAAGTATAACTAAGTAAGCTGCTTATTGAATATAAAAATCCATCTACAAATATTACAATTTTTGTTTGTTTTTATCATTCATCGGACACACCTTTCTTTTATAATTTCAATGCTTACACACACATATTTAATAAAGCAAAATCAAACAGCAACTTTGCAATTATATTTTGGCAAAAAGAATTTCAGTACTTTTCCAAGCTGTCTGTGACCCTGCAAATACTTACACCGAATGACAGTTGTTTATCATTGCATTCATTTTACACTATACCGAAAAATTAAGAAACGTTACTTTACACTCTGCAAAAATAACTATTCCAACAGTGACAAATAAAAATTGGTACGAAGCTTACAAAGACGTTGGATTTTTTACTTAACAAGTAGTACTTTTTGTTAACTTATTTACGCGTATTTACAAAATAGTTTCTATGAAAAAATATCATTCAAATGATTCACTTGAAATTTAATGAGTTGACCGGCACTACCACTGCATCGAACAAATTTTTTTTTTTATGTGGACTCTAGAAAATCCGTGTAGTCTTTCGTCATTGATGCACTTTATACAAAACGGCATAAACGAAATAACTAATTTTTTTTTATTTTCATTTGGCTTATAAGTCTATATACTATACATCTGTGTATTTGCAAAACAAAAGTAAATTTACAACGAAACATACGCTTTCATAACATGTTAGAATCTCGATTATTTTTCAAGACTGAATGTTATGTTACTCCAAATGCAAAAACGAGACTTTTCATTCGCACGTTTTAACAAAGAAACCTTAATTGACTAATATACATTGTTACTTTGTTGATTTTTTGTTTGGAGTTTGATCAGTCGACATTAATTTTACCTCGAATGTATGCAAGTAATTGCACAGAATTTAGGCACATCGATCGGAATATTAATATTGCAACTTTTGAAAATTTTCATATAACTACCTATGTTAACCGCGACACAGTTGAAAAAAAAGTCTCGTTTTTTACGCTCCCGATGAAAAGAAATATTTCACCAAATATATAAAGGTTTTCAGTCGAATCATCTACTTAAGTATTCTCGTAAGTACGCTCTCTACGGATTACACACCATCATTGCTTGCGATGATTTATAAAAAAAAGAAGAGCATCGCCACTGTTGCTTTTTTTACACAAAACTCAAGGTGCTTTGATTTATTGCTCTCGTTTGCGGATTTTAGTTCATCCATGGCGGTGCTGATGCGTGGTACCGTGGATGATGCATCCTTGGTGGGTGGCGTGACTGCGTATAGGTGGGCGGCGATGGTGGCGGTGGTGGCGGATTACATATCGAAGCCACCAGGGCTGCCGGTGGTGGTGGTGGCTTCATCGCTGTATATGGTGACATAAGGTTGTACTCCATAGCTCCACTCACCTGATGCTCGGGCAACGCGTTTTGACTAGGTGATCGACTCCCGTCAGACCCTACAATTATAAACATCCACGCAGCGCCACGTCAGGTTTACCATTTTTATTTTCAATTACGTGAGTCGTTCGATTGAATTTTATGTATTTTATTTTATCTTTTAAATGTCATATTGTTAGTGTAAATTTTAAGGAAATGGGTATTTAAGATACTCGTTTATGTAAGATATTTGTCAATGTTAATTTTTTGTCAATACTGTTCGCTTTAGAGAAATTGACATATCATAGAATGTATAATTTCTGTACGATTAATAACTGCGTGGCTAAGATTTGGCGTATCTGTCAACAAGATCATCGCTAAATTTTCAGTGAAATATTTTTTGTCAAATCATTTGTCAATGTAAATTTAATGCATGAATAAAAAATGCGCACGATCGAGTATAAAATTATTAGATGCATTGTCGATTTACCGAAGAATGTTAAATCTTTGAATGTAAAGCGAGGACAGATAATTAAGTATCGATCAGCATTATTGGGATACAAAATTCAACAAGTCGACAGAACTACAAAAAAAGGACAAACAACGATATTTTTACCGATCTAGTGAGAAAAATGACAATCTTGAAAACTTCAATAAACGTAATAAAAACATCTTATAAAATAAAATTTTCACAATAAAAATATGTAATAATAAAAATATAAAAACCACAGAAGAAACAAGGACACGTTTATATGAACGTAAAAAAGTAAATGTATGGCATAATAAAATCAAACACAATTCATGAAACCCGAAAGTATTGAAAAAAGAAAATAATCGAACGACCCATCTAAGAATAAAATAGGAAAAAAAAGTAGGGTGCGATGTACCTTGGCGTCTTTTCTCTTTTTTATTTTGGAATATTTACCCTGAACAAGTCTCATCTGCGGCGGGGGAGGCGGCATGTTAATAGGCGGAGGTGCGCCATGATAAGGAACAGGATGTTGCTCGCCTTCGCGTGGCATTGGTGGCGGCCTATTCGGTGGGTAACGCGCGAAATGCGTCTGCCATGGCATCCCAGGAGGTGGTGGTGGCGGTCTGCCGTGCTCGCCGTTCATCGGCTGCTCACAGCCTGCGAGCGCATTTTTTTCATGTTTTAGTTGGTATATTAAAATTGATTCACAATTTCATAGCTTATTTTTAATTATATTAATATGCGATCATTCGGATATTGAAACTGCTTGAACAATTTGATTTGATATTGTTATACAATACGGACGTTGTTATTGTTGCCGTTATTGTTATTATTACTTCAAGAATTACGTTCATGTAGAACGTTGCAGAGGTACACTAGGTACTCGTGCGCATGTCAATTGGTCATTCGATTTGATAATGTTTGATATCAAAAAGATAACACTTTATTTATAGCATAAAAAATAAAATATTAATTATAAAAGTGAATTCTTCGTGTCCTAAAGGCCCATTGTATCATAATAAAATTGACAAAGGAAAGCGTCTTGTAGCTAAACTATTGACGATCTTATTAAAGCAATTATGAAAGCATATATTTTTCTTGATTAAAGAGAAGTTAGAGGTCACATAGTGTAAGGAAGATAGCGTCTATTTTTCTGCCAAGAATTTTGTTTTGCTTATTAATAAATTTGCACGATATTGGTAAGGGTTTTGATAAAATTTAATATCAACATTTCACAAGGTAACGTCAGCGGCATATTTTTTTATTTTTAATTTGGTATATTAAAGATTGTCACCTAGGGAAAATTCAATTTACAGAATAAAGTTCATACGTAAAATAATCTTTGGACACTGATCTTTAAAATGGCGTACGAGTGAAATAATTTTTATAAAATATTTTTAACAATTAATTAAAAATATGACCGATATGTGGTTTTACGTCGTTGACAACTATTAATTATAATTATTTTATGCTTAAAACCGAATAAAATGAAGAATAAATCTCATTGGACAGTTCATTTACCTGGATTATGACCCGGAAATGGTTGATCCATGCCACGTCTTTCATCTAGACAAAAAAAAATCAGAAGCATTAGTCAAATCAATCAAAAATAAAGTTTCAAATCAACACATTGAAATTTATTACAAAAGTGAAATGTACACGCTAGTAAGCTAAGAACTGTAACGTGCAAAAAAATTAAACAAATATATATAACGTTCCCCTGATTCTCCTCTGGCCTCGAACGCATGCAGCAGTATTTTCTTTCCTACAGTAGAATAGAATCGAAAAACAAGAGAGTTGATGATATTGCGCTTCATTCACCACCCAGCCAGAAAATAAATAAATAAAAAAAACTGCAGTAACAGATCTGTAAACGGTATGATTCGCCAATAAATGAAGAGAAGGACAAGAATAATAACGTTTCTTAGACATGGAAGTAGGTGGCGTAGGATGGATAAAGATAACTTGCAACAACATCAAAATAAATAAATAAGTAAGAGCTCTAAACAAAAAAATCATCATGACCCTGAAAGTAAAGATTCGCTAGAATATCTCTACACTATCGATATGCTAAACGAACAAACTCAAAATATTCGTTATAAAGAACCCTGGAAGCATCGAGTATGTTGGTATACACTTTTTTGGCAGCTGTAAATAAAGGCATTGGAAATATGCTTTTTTTTTAATGCATTTATAAGAATTGAGAAAAAAGAGCCATTTGATTATTTTAGACTATTTTGCAGAAAGCATTTAGAACAACTAATGATGCAGAGCCAAAGCAAGATGGTATTTGTAATATAATCATTCTCTGTTGAGGTGCTTTTATATATAGAGTATCATCTACAATTCCAAAAATAAAATAAGTGTGAACAGATATACAGTATGTTTAAAAATTATTCTGATGTCCGTGCTAATTATATACAGTCTGCTGCGTTGCTAATTGTTATGCTGCTGCTATATTTTCTGCTAATTAACGCAATAATAATGGCTCGAAAAAGATGCCATATTCGATTATCGTTCGATAGTTTTGGAAGATTTTTGCACTCTTTAAACTGGGAGCATCATCCGCAGGTTCGTCCGTACGAATGTCCGTTGATTTCTAGTAAATGTAGGAATAATTTACGCAACTCATAATAAAAATCAATTGTTTACCAACTCGGCTTGTCAAGAAATCAAATTATATAGCAATACTTTTGATAAATATAATTGTGATAAATGTTAGTTCTAATTCTGTTGGTAAACAAGATTTTTCATACCTTCACCACATACCAGATCTAATCACAAATGTAATAAAAATAATTAATAACAATTTCAGCTTCAGGAAACCGGTTCCTCTAGAAACATATAAGAATTTCGACCTGTGATGGGCAAAAAAGGTGTAATTCTCAAATAATCCTATCGATGTATACACCAATAGAAATAAAAGAGCCAATAATACTAAAATAAAAAAAAGTAAAGGAAAGAAGTTGCGATAGAAATACAGTGTTTTAACAAATTCAGCTTATTTTCTCTTTTTTGAAGAGACACAAAGAAGTGGAGAAAAAAATGGTTTATCATAAAATTTTTATGCAATTGCAATAAATCGAAGAAGAGCAGTCTGTTGTGATGACGGCCATCCCTAAAATATCGCTGTCTCGTCATTAGTTACAGACCTTGGTAAGGTGGCGGCATTAGCAGCTGCTTGCGTTCGCCCGGCGGTAGATTCGCTCCTGGTGGGCCATGCATCACGTGCTGCTGCTGATCACCTTCTCTGCTTGAACAAGTGAGTTACTTGCATTAGTTATTACGCGCGCCCCGCCCGAAATATCTTTAATTGACTGTTCTCCCAACGGAATTTCGTTTCGTAATACAAATTTGAAAATCCTCTAATTATCTTTTCGTTTCCAATTAATTTGCTCTTTTTTTTTATGTTTACAAGATAAGACAATTAGAGGTTTAAGAAATTCCTTCGATAAATTTTATTTTCCAGTTTCAAAAATGTTCAGAGGTCATTTGATGTAGATAGCACGATATTTTCACAAATATTTGGTCATCGAATGTTCGGCCGATTATTTTAAAACTTCAATTAGCAACATTGTATCAACTGAAAAAAATTCGACGACTTGAATTAATTTCAAAATCAAACGCATATGTTAAATACTAATATGTGACAAAATTCGTCATTTTCTAATATCAAATATTGATATTATTAGAGATAAGTTGATGTTATCTCATATAAATTAGTATCAAGTTGAGAATGGAAAATATTTATAGAAGGAATATCCTACTCTTTACAAAACAATTATTATTGAATGACGTATTTCTGTAGAATCATTGCGGTCATATCAATTTTTATTGATGAATCTGTATACTTAGTTCATAATTTTTTTCTACTATAGTTTTTCTCTATATTTTATCTTTTTCACATAGTTTTTTAACAGTAATCTTAACTTTATTATATCATTAATCACCATAACGAACTATTGAGACTGTGAATATCGTAAATTAAGTGATAATAAAAAAATTTTAAGTTGAGATAAAAAAAGATGAATTAGACATTTTTAGTATCAGAGTACTTAACATTTTTTAAAGCTAATACTTAAGGCTGAATATAAAATATACCCATAAAATTTGATGCAGTTGTAAAATATATATCACATACACTTTTTATTTTTAAATAAACAATATTCTCAGCCGCAAAATAAAACTCATAGTTACGCACCAAATAAATGTAAGTTAAAAAATAATTTCAAGCTGATAAAATATATCGTCGTTTTACGAAAGTATCAGAGGTTTTACGACAATAATATTCCATTTAAAAATATAGTTAAAATATCACACGAGGTTCGCATATTTATACATTTTTATAAATAAACACATGGTTGTAAGAACATTATCATATTAAAAAAAAACACCATTTAATTGTTTGTGCATTACTAAACAAAAGTAAGCAACTTTCTTTGTTCAGAGGGAAAGTTATTAGAATATATGCATACGTCGAAAAATTTTAAGCCACTGTTCTATTATTTTTTCTTTTTTTTTTTTGAAAAATTAAACCATTAGGTGGCAAAAACATTGGAAAAAAATATTGATCTTGAAATTTAATGTACAAGTTTGTATATTATGATATTTTTTCAAATATGTGTAGAAGAGTATACAATTCTCTTTATATGCTACATTGGCGTTTCCTTTATATCGTAACAAAAGGAACATAAGATATTTACATTTAACAAATTGATCGACTAGATATAGATTGTATGCTTTTCTACACGAACGCTGTCTAAATTTTCAATTTTTTTTTCAAAACTATTTTTTAAATATTTATTTTATTAATAGTTATCTCATAGTATTCGGTATGATAATTTTATTTATGTTGATTGGTTTATCGCCGTGCAGTAAGTGAAAAAATTTTTTTTTTAATTTATATACCAGAAACATTTTTCTATTCCTCTAGTTACTTAAAGGAAAAAGTTATTTTTCAATTGGCAAGACGAACATAAAATGTTGTAGAATAAATATACCCAATATGAAAATGCAACTGTTTCCTTTTTCAAATTTTTCACTGAGCCATCGGCGAGAAGCCAATCGATATTTACTTGATTAAGCAAGAGTGAGCTTCCTAACTCTGTTACCGTATTTTCTGTGATTTATGTTTTTGATTCTATTTTTTATAAAGTTTTTTTAAGAAATAAATTATTAGCACTTTATGGTAAAAATTTGTAACATTTTGTAAGATACACCTAATTTCTGCATATTCATTTGAAGGCTTCCTTGGTATTGACTCTATCTATTACATAGGTACGAGAATAAAAAAATCAGTACTTTATATTTTTCTTTAACACTTACAGTGTATAAAGTCCATTAGATAATCAATACACCTTAAAATATACAATAGAAATGTGTGACTTACCCAGCACCATGTCGTTGAGTCGGTGGCCTATTCATTGGATGCATCATAGGTTCCTTAAGAAAACAATAATTAGTCAGATTGATATTTATAAATAGTTTTCACAATTTTCTATAACAAAAAACCAAACTTACAGGTGGCCCATCGACATCAGAGAATCTTCTCTTGAGACCTTGACCTTTATGATGTTCAGGTAGATCTGAATTTTGATCAAAATGGGACTGCGGCGGCGGTGGTTGAACGGCATAATGCATTTGCGGTGGTTGCATTTGTCCATTTTGATAATGAACTGGTTGATGAGGATGATATTGCATTTGAGGTTGCATTTCGGGTGGAGGTACAGGATGATGCGGCACATTAGATGCTGGTACCTAAACAAACAATGATTTCAACCAAATTGAAGTAACATTATAGTATAAAAAAATTATATGTATATTATTTCCTAAAATTCGTCAGTTCTTATTCACATAAATAATCAAGTTTTGATTATTGGTACATTTATATTTACCTGCATTTGTCCCTGAGGAGGAGGCGGTTGTGGTAGCGGTTGTCCTTGATAAAGCCACGGAGCTGCTTGCGGTGGCGGATGAGATGGTGGCGGTACACTTGTTATGATATTCATGGAATGTTGCATTTGATTAACTGCCGGAGGTGGAACCATCTGAGGTGGAGGAACTGGCTGTGGTGGCATGCCTTGATCCACTGGACCTACTATAAAACATATTAATAAATTTATAATTATTATATTTATAATGATAATTTATAATAATTATTATAAATTTCATGTGTTTCAAATTAAAATGAAAAATCTTTACCATCTTGAGGGTGCTGCATCTCTCCACCTGGCGGTGGCAATGGTGGTTGCGGTCCGTGTTCGGCCATGGCCTGAGATGTTGGCACCATGTAACCTTGCGAAGCGGGTGGAGGCGCATGCATCTGCATTTGCGGAGGTGGAGGTTGACCGTCGAACTGTGGCGGTGGCATATGCTGTGGCGGTGGTGGTGGTGGACCCATGCCTTGAGGTGGCTCGTGGTTCGGTGGCATTTGTTGAGGTGGAGCTTCACTGTGATGAACTATAAACTGAGTTGGTGCTTGAGCCACCGAAGTTTGTACCGGTTGGTACTGAATCTGATAAGTTTGTGAAATAGGCGGAGGTGGCTGATTCGGTGGAAATGGTGGTGGAAAGTGAACGTGCATTAAAGACGGTGGTGGCGGTGGTTGTTGATTCACGTTGATAGGACCTGAAAAAAAAATTTGTATAGTTAATTTACAATTAGTTGTCTACCAATTAAAACGATCTACCTGAAGGAGGGGGTTGTTGTAAATTAACATTCACAGTCTCGATCATAGTTTGCGTAGGAGTTGCTGACCTCGGCTGAGTATACACATAAGACACAGCCCCATTGATTGCACCCGCACTGCTACTGATAAAAGTTTGTTGGGGAGGTGGTTGACTCATGACGTACATCTGTGTCATAGGTTGCGGGGAATTCTGAGATCCAGGTGGAGGCATCCCTTGCATTGGTAATGGTTGACCAGGATGTATTTGGTACTGAACCTGGTTGACTCCTGGGGGAGGACCTATCAATTGCACTTGACCAACCGCTGGAGGAGGAACGAACGTTTGCATTTCCTAAACATAATTTCATGTTATAAAAGTAAAATCTTAGCTTTTTCCGGTTCTAGAATGTATAGCAAATAAAACAACATACTTGAGGTTGATCTGATTGTGGCATTGGTCCAGCAGGAGCTGCAATATGAACTCCGGTAGGATGAAGTTGTCCATGAGTCCCAGCAACTGTAGCTGTTATTATTGTGGCTGGCATTGATACAACTGTGCTCTGAGGATGCGGTATCATATCTTGATGTATAGTTACGACGCTTGGTTGACCAATCGTCATTGTTTGAAATTGAGCTGGAACAAGCAATAATAATTGCGTTGACAATTTATAAAATAAGATTACTCTATTTTAATTATTTAATAATTTACCTGGTTGTATTTGTTGCATAGGAGGTTGTTGAATCACCTGTTGTTGAACAGGTGGAGGTTGTTGCTGAATGTAAGATTGTAATTCTGACTGTATAGTCTGAATCAAGTTGATAGCCAACTGTTTAGCATTTTGTAATGCCACAGGATTTGGATGTCTGAAAAAAATAATAAAATCTGTGAATAAATTGAACAATTAAAGAGATTAAAAGTACACGTTTAAACGCACTCTATACACAAGTGAAGGGGTTCTGGAGATTCAGTTCCTAATCCAGGATCAATAAGCTGTGAACCACGTCCTCTCAAACTAACTGTAGCACCCGTTTCACCTCTTATGTACAATAAGTTAGCACCGCCAACTCCAATAATCCGCCCGCGCAAATCAAATCCTTGCGGTGCATTTTCGATACCAATGCAAAGTTTTTCCTAAGTTAAATATAGTTAAGATAAATATAATACATAGTTTGAGTTTCACGAGTGAATAGGATAGAAATAAGTCTTACAACAGTTGGAACTCCTGAGTGTAGGCTCATCAATGGTGGAGGTGCATTTGTAAATCGACTTGGTCTATTTAAAGAACTCCTATGTTCAGTCTTAATGATATCATTAATCTTTTGTACAGCCACTGCAAAGCATTGATTCTCATTAGTAAGTTATTCATAAAAGACAAAAATAATAATTGTCAGAATCAACTTACAATCGATATTGTGCTTTGAATGTCCTTGTATGTACAAGTATAGTGGACGTTCATGAGGACATCTTGCTTTCTCCTGTTCAGTCATGAAGCGCCCACGAGTGGATACTGTTGCACCTGAAAAAAAGAGATAAATGATTATTTTATAAAAACATCTTCGATTAAAGTTTAAATAATAAATAATTACCTGAAAAGGAATTGATCTCATCCTGTATGTAACCTTTTGTTAGTAAGGTTCTTGCACTCGGTGGAGTTTCGTTAATTTCAAACTCTGTTGTGAACATTTCTGTTCCTTTGTATCCACCATTGGATGATGGCATAAGCTGAAAATTAATTACAAAATAATTTAATAAATATTTTACACGTTTTTATAATATTCTATTTTAAAACATAATTCAAACAATCATACCTTGTTATTACCATCAATTGTCTTTATTTTTCCTTTTGCCATGTGTAAGGAATTAATCCTGATAGCTGCATTACCAGCTTTTTTCATGATTGCTGGTGTATTGTACAATCTTAATCAGCTTCTAATTTAAAATATGTACATCTAACATAAAACAACCAGCTAGAATTAAATGCAGCTACCATCTTGTTTTCTTTCACTTTCTATAATTTGTAGTAAATATCAGTTGATTCACTTGTATACTAGGATCATGTGATAATTATCACGTTTTTAACGACAAAGCTCCGTTGAATCTAACATACGAAAAAGGAGTAACTAAAGCTCTGAAGTGTCCTATCGAAGAAAACTCAGCCTGAAGAAGTATATCCATGTAGGCTTCCAAATTTAAATTAGAGAAACTAGAACTGCTTCTTCTCTCTCACTTTTACATGCATATACCCTGTGAAATCAGAGTATATCATTTTAGTAAATTTCTCTTTATGAACATTTATTAAGTTAGAGGTTAGTTACATACATACATATATACATACATGTAGATACATTGTGTGGAAAAGTTGCTAATTAACATTGTTGCTTCCAATGTACTCTCTTGTATGTGCTATTGGGCAAAAATAACGAGCTACGAAAGTGGACACTGTACGATCAAAAATCATCCGATTTTGAAAGTGTTTTGAAAAACTTTCTTTTTAAAATTCAAGTTTTGTCGTACTAAAACAACTGGAAAACTATCACATTCTAACTCAAGCTTTTGCTTAACCTATCTCTCGCTCTCAATACTAGACAGAGATAAAAGAACCGCGTAAGAATATCTACTAGGCAAGTTCACATTAATAATAGCAATATTGATCACAAGTGATCACGTTCGCAAAGTGAATATTATATTGAATCGTACATCCTCTACATGTATAATTTGCACTCGAGTCGAATTTTCCTCTCGGCTTGGGACATACAACGTCAAACACTAATCATCAAACCGAGTACATAAAAAAAAACAGCGCGAGGTCTTCCAACACGATTAGCCAAACATCACAATAATCTTCCGTCTCTCTTTCTCTCTCTCCCTCTTACCTCTTGTACATTAGCGGAGTAAAGATTTTTTTCTGTGCCGCGAACGATGATGGCGAGTCTGATAGATACTTAATTCAGTAGCCTATCATTTTTGGTTCTTCTTCTTTTTTTGTTCGTTTCGCTTTTAATCGAGTGAGGGGGAATCGGACACGACAACCACTCGCGACCTGACGATATCCCGCGAAACTGCGAGAATATCAGATGCCCAACGCGGCTCCAATTGACGACAGCCGCTCGCGCAATCACGTTATAGGTTAATTCTCGTGGGGCTATTGCCCCACGAATTTCTCGCGCGGGAAATTTTAAGCGGAGCTAACATCTTTTATAATAATTTTTATTTTCCTTTGGTTAAAGTTGGTTAAGATCAAATATTTATGGACTAAAATTATTTCTTAGACTGACACATTCATTCGTCTTATTTATTTTTGAGTAAGCTTCATAAGCGGAATAAGACCATTAATAAAATCAAGTTACATAAAAGAAGATTGCGCTATGTATCTGTATAAGGGCTGACTGTTAATTCCTTCGTTATATCGCGCTCCGTATTTTCATTATCGACGGTTATGCGTTATGTTTAGAGTTTTTCTCCTTGTATAATGTATTTTTTGTTGATGTCTCTTTTAGAAATTTGTGATATCTTAGATCAACATTACGTGACAACGGAAACTATAGTATTCTACACTGCAAAAAGTTCGATTGCATTTTTACACGATGTCAAGTGAAAGTGTTCAATCATTATCAGCATAACTGAAAGCAACAATCATTCGGGTAAGCCATCATCCGTATTTTCTCTATACTATCAGACTGTGAAAATCTCATGCACAATATCGATTTTATCTCTATAGCTCATCAAGTGCTACTTAAAAGACAATCGTTATCGAATGATGTACCTAATCAAAACCACTCGAAATTTGCGTCTAATAGAACATTGTAAAAGAGTGACACGACAGTAATCAGCTATTTCTTCACACGAAACAATAAGCAATTGAAATAATCGCAAAAAGAGAGTATCGAGAGGCATTAAAAAAATGAAACTGGATTCCGTTTGCTGCTGAGTAAGTCGTCATGCGCGTAACTTTAGATGACCGCATAACGCGCCACAATATACTGGCCTACGTGATTGATTGCTAATTTCGAATGGAGCTGCGTTTCGCTTAATTGATCGTGTCTAGTTCTGCAACTGCCAGTCGTCCTTCTATTATTATTTCTGTATAGATGCCTTTTTGTTATGTATGATGACGGTTGTTCGATATTCGAATTGACTGTCGTCTTGGTTGTGGCGTTCACCAACAAAAGATTAGTCTCGTAACTATAATAATTGATTAACTGTCCATTCGCGTATTAATCATCGATGTTGTATCTCAAACGGTAATTTTTTATTTTTATTCGAAGCGAACTTGTAGCAAAATACATCATTGTGTACGTGCGTGAAAGCCAACTGAACTGTAAATAATTCGACGATCGTTCGGGGTAATTTTTTCACAGGCCAATAAATTCACACCCACGCGCACTACGCACTCCTTTCTCTAAACTACACACACGACCGTCATTTTTCAGTGAGTCGGAAAAGTTACTTCCTTTCATGGAACTCGTGTTAGAAGTGCTTGTACCCCGTCCTCAACCGAATCGATAGCTGCTATTAAAGTGCCTTGTCAGTAAAAAAATTCCTATTTGACAATCAGCTAAAATTAGATTTACTTTGTTGCATATCTCAACAGATATCTTTTCACGCGAACGGATTATCTATTATTGATTTCTTTTGCGTACTTTGATGTAAACATTTGGAAGATTGAAAAATTCTTGACGACAAAACGTAAACTTGTTTTGATGTTTCCATTCTACGCTGACAAAAAAAAACTTGTGTTACAACCTAAGGAAAATGTGGCACGCGAATCCCGCAATTCTATAATAAATTCATTGACCTCGTTTACCAAACATCAAGAATTTCATAATATTTCTTTTTGGGCAGTCAGTAGTTTTGGTTCGAGGAGTTTTCGGAAAAAAAGAAAATAATCGAAAATATTAAGTCTTGATACATTGTTTTTGTACATGTATGTACGTTCACATTTAGTTTAATGAATTTGATTAAAATTATACTTGCAAATTTAATGTAAGTCTATGAAGAAGAAAAAAAATTCAAACGTTCATGCGCTATAGCAAACATCCTTGTTTTTTACAACTAATATTCATGAGTCGAGCGTTGATACGCAACATATGGTTGAATTTATTTTTTTGACCTTGATTTATTCAAAAAATCTTGAAAAATACTAGAGTAATTATTTCTAGTAACAATATCTATTTTAAACTTTACAAGCTACTTTCTCATTATGGTAATGAGGATTATTAACTTGAGCCTGATTGTTCATCACTTCAAGGTATGAAGTATATTTTATCATGTCCTCTATAACTGAATGATCGCAAGATGGGAAATAAATTACGTGCTATATCTTACAGCCACTCGAATCTTATCACTTGCATAAAGTAATTTATTGGTGTATTATTTTATACGAGCCATTAGTTGTCAAGCCGGCGCAACTGATACTTCGAATACCCTGCCTTCTTCCCGGAACATTTCTTATACATATTTTCAGTCAATCAAAATTAATCAAAGCAAATAAACCATTGGCTATATATGGAAGACAGGCAAATTCCCACGCAGAAGTAACATGTTACAACCCTTCCCGAAAAGATAGGAATTTCTCGTTAAATATTTCCCACTCTTCTGCGCCGCCGCATGCTTGTGTAGGAAGAGAGAGAAAGAGAGAAAGAGACAGAGAGTGAGGGAGAGAGAGAAAGAGAGAGAGATCGTGCCTCGCTCGCAATCTATACAACACGTCCAAGCTTCAGTCGGCTCGCAAGCACTGTAGCGAGAGCATTGCATCCCTTTTGTATATAGTAGCGCGCGTAAAGTTGTCACAGGTATAGTCGTGTGATACACGCGTACGAATGAGGACACACGTAAAATTATTTTCACAACGATGAGTTACCGTGACAGAATCCTGTTGATACTTAACCTTCTTGTGGCAGTTAATCTCACGGCTGAAGCACGATCATGGGGTGAGTTTCCACGAGGAATCCAGTTCTCTCTTATCACTTTTATTGTCGAAACCGGCACATAGCTTTTCCTTACATTCGTTAAAGGCTCGTTGACACTAGCGTAAGGGGTTACGTAAAGTTCGGAATATTTATTCACATTGGATTTTATCGCTGAGGTGTTGATCGCTCGGATAATCTATGACTGATAGTCCAGTTGAAAGTGTTTTATGTACTATTGACAGTTGTATAAATATATATTCAATGTCACGAAAGATAATCTTGGCAAAGTTATTACTTCGAATTAGTATGGATGCATCGGTGTGCGCACGGCATTATTATGAAAAGGTGGCGCGCGCTGACGACTCCATTCGCCTGCTGAGCCGAGTCACGTAGGCCACTGAAGCAGCATGCTACTATACTTATACTACTTTCTGCATACTGTGAGCGTCTTTTTTACTTGTTCTGGAACATGAATGAAAATTCGGAGGGACTGACCTTCTTTCGATATCGAGGTATTCGTAAAGTATCGCATCCATTCTTTTTTTATCACAAGTAGATTTTGATTTTAGGCGCGTTGAGAAAAAGCCCTTTTACATAACGAATGTCACGAACGCAAGTTAAGGCGCGCACGATCAAGAAATTCAGCTCTAATAATTTACTGTAGGTCGCGAGAGCAGTGTGAGTTGTTTCGTTTGTTTTTGTTTTTTTTTTTAACTTATACTGGTTAATCGTGCTTTCGAAGAGATACTTTGAATGTAGTGTTATCTTATGCTAAGGCTGAGGATTACCTGAATTGATGTTAATTTCTTATGCTAGTGAATAAATTATGTACACGTGCCAACAACAATTATAAATGAATTTAATTATTTTACATAAGTGAACATCGACACAGTACAGTTGTATCGTAGTTTATAATGAAAATTCATTACGTAAAATAAATTATTTTTACAATCGAAAATCCAAGTATAATAAACGATGAATTATCTAACGCTACCTTATAAATGCTTGTTATTCTGTACAAAAAAAGGAGCTTTAATGTACACGTTCGTCTATATCAAAGATTTTTCAGGTTTTTCTCGTCATTTATGATTCTCCAAGTATACGTGCTTTCAATTGCTAATTCGGCTACATTAACCAATATACGCAAGTGCTGATATGTCCAGTCTAACGTTCGTAGTTTCTTTTTCTGACGTCTTTTCGGCCGAAGATTGAAATTTGACGCTATTAAATCGCTGGTTTTATTGAAAGGTTTTATCAAGTCACACGAAAGGTTTTGCAATGCAATTGTGATAATTTGGAGGAAAAAAACTGATGAACACTGCACTTTTGATACGACCGTATGTTATTAATGTGGAAAAAAGTGTGTGCAACGTAATTGATTAAATTGTCAGTTTTAGATAAGTCATTTGATTCCTAATCGCCAATAAAATCATCACCTAAACCGAAACCATTGTCGCTATGAAAAATAGTATGAGCCGCTTAGATTTATCTCCACTTAAAGAAACCATCGTCATAATAAATTAACAGCTCGTCAAAAGTTTATGACTCATTATACAATTGGAAAAAAAAAGATTTGATGGCAAACATTTTAGTAACGATAATAATCTGTCGCGAATTTCCATATTTTGCTTTAGCGCTCTAAATTGTGCGACTCGGATCTTCTACCATAATCTGGCTTTCTCCAATTTCTCGTTTAACATGTAAAGAACAGATAGAATTCGCTGATTTTGTGTATATATTATCGTCCTTGACGTAAACAAAAAAAAACTTGCCGCGTTGCCGATTTTTGCGTGTACGTAGGTTCGGTGTGCTTGCTTTGCAGAAAGGTCGCATAAAACGAGCGACTGGAAGTTTCCGAGATCGTTTCGAATTTTCTTTTGAGGTTATTTCATTTCCATTCATCAAGAACTATTTACCACGTGACCATCGTCCAGCCAATCAGATCACGAATAAACTGCCTTCATTTTCAACCCATCTATTTTTCTTATAAAAAAAAAAAAGGACGAGGAGGAATAAGAGGAATGGCAGGATCTAAAGGAGCATGCTGGCGTTATACGTATCATATTGAATTTCCCTGATTTGGTATAAAAATGAGATATGATTCACTAGTATGTTTATTAAAAAAAGTGTTCTACTTATAAAGTAACGTTTGAATTACAAAGCGCATTTAATCGATCCCAGAGCTGTCGAAATTCAATTTTCGTTTGAAATGTCACGTGAAACCATACGGCAAACCGAAATCGGCACTAGAGTCAATAAAAGAGGTATCGAGTGGCCCCTTGTCGCGCGAAGAAGCCACGTGCGCGTATGAGCCCAAATTGGCTTGCCCTCGCTGCTTCGTCCCTCGGCTACGCGATACTTGGTCCGCGAGGCAACGGTCTTCACCAATATTGAGCAATCGATTTGCGTGCGATCGCTTAATAAGGATGCGTAAATGAAAACACTTGGAATACCGGCTGGATAGTTTTCCTTTCGTCGTGCGCCAAGCATTGAAAATCGATGTGTTTGCTCGGGATCTTTTTCCTATTTCGTTACGCGACGAAGAGTTTCGTTGCCTCGTCGCACGGGGAATCACGCCGGGACCGATTTTTTACTACACGCAAAACCTTCTCCGCGAGCACTGAGCTTGTGGAGAGCCTTAACTGCCACATCGTTGCTTCATTCGTGATCTACCTGTCTGTCCAAGCTAACTTTAGCTCGCTAACGGCAACGAATTTTTCAGTCGACTTATACAATCGATGCGGCTCGCGCTGAATTTTCAGCGCCCAAGTCACCTACGAAACTTGAAACTTCGTTATGCTTAATTTGACGTACTCTCGGGTGACGGACGAAAGAACGAGGAGTGCTCGTAACATTTGAATATGCACAAGAAAGCTAAAACTTGGATACACGAAGCGTTCCGCATTTTTTCCGTTCTTTTAATACGAGTCAGCGTTCAGTCGTCTACGTGTACGTAGCCACGCGCGACAAACCAATTTCTTCTCTCTCTCTCTTTCACAACGCGAGCCTCGTCTTAAATTACACCTCGCGACTAAAAAACTGACTAGGAATTCGCTGATTGCGCTTTTAATTGGATAGCTGCGCAATGGACAATTACTCTTTTTAAATTGAAATTCAAGGTCGAGCGTTTTCGGAAGAGCAGGACTCGCGATCGAATCGACGATTACGCGCGTGACGTATATATTTACGGTGAGACGGCTACAGCAGTCTTCCTCGAGTGACCGCGCGTTCGAAGACCAGCGACAATACGTCTTCGCGTCTTTCAGCTTGAGTTTCGCGAATAAGTTCTTTCTCGTTTGACGAATGGCAGTACCTATAAGGATAATGCAATAGCAATGCTCGATTTTTAGCTTCTTCATTGGCGCCTCGACCGAAAAACTGATAGCGAAACATTGACAGCCACGTCGTTCAAAGGCGCCATCCAAGTTGTACTAACGGTCGCGAATCGTTTGTCCTTCGCTTCGGCTTCGTTATCAAGTTCCAACTTTATCACTGGCAGTCGACGTCCAACCTCGTACGATTAGCTAGGCTGTCAGGCTGACGAAAAGCAAAACAATCAGGGAATAAGCTAATCTCCAATCCGCTGAACGTTCAACTTCGCGAGGACGAACGCCAAATTTTATCGAGCAACGTGCGATACTGATCTCGGCTATGCTTTTACGACCGAGTGCCATGAAAATAACTTAGGATTACAGCAGAGTTGATGTCCGAGGGCGCACGTCTTTGTTTGATACAAGGGTAAGGGTTGTACATACGTTTGGAGGGATGTTTAGGAGAAGCTAGTGTGTCGAACACATGGGCTTGGACTTTCTCGAATAGCCAGCTAAGTAAGCCTCGAGCGAAATAAAACATCACCGTCGATGAGTCGACGGTGCTAGCGTACCATCTAGCCAAACATCCTTGTCTCCTCAATTTTTACGAGCTCCTTCGAACCCTGTTGTAAATCACTTGCTGAGAAGGTGAAAATGCACTCCAAGCTAGCCTCGACCGCCCGGAAGAATTTCCTCTCCCTTAGGTCTAACTTACAAAGGTGCGCAGCACTCTCGCAATAAAAATCTCATACTTTACATTGACTTTGCTGCAATCACTATACCTTTGAAATCCGATGATACGATAGACGCTCGTTTAGTTCGAGAAAGGCAGGACAAGGTCGCTTGTCGCCAACATTCGACCCAGCGTTTGCCAGGAAAACCTAATGAAAAATCAGGGAAAGCGTGGGAACGAAGGAGCCGAACCGACAGTGAGGCCCACTACCAAAGGCCCAATAACAGTTTGCGTCAGCTACTGCGGAGCCTCTCTCATAGTACATGCTTTCACACCATCGACCCACGTCGCCAATCCTACATAAATAACAGACCAATGCGAAGGTTAACAGACCATGACCGAGGTCGCTGAATTTCCCGCGAGCATGTGGTCGAGACACCACGATGCCAACGACCACCGTGGGCATCCCTTTTTCAAACTTCAAATTTCTTTTTGCAGATCTAGCGGTGACGGTCGACAAGGATATCAACTTTCTCGCGCGCAACGGTACTCTGCTCGGCAAAACCGTCATCGCCAACGCGACGAAGATGTCGGCGATGGCCTACGACGACTACACTCACACCATGTTCCTTAGCGATATGAACAATCGCGAATACGCGATTTTTAGCGTCGACCTACGCCTGAAAAATGTCACCGTCAAGCCTATACTCAAGAGTAAGTATCATTTCATTCGTTTGATTCAACCAAAGCGCACGACGTTCATCGTTATTTTGTCAGTACTTCTTTGTTATGATAGAAAGAAATTTATTAATCTTCCGTTCGTTGTCAAAAGACATTCAACGCGGAAATCCACAATACTTTCATTTTTGTTTTAGGAGATAAAGACTCACCAATAGTAAGCATGGCGTTCGACACGCCAAGTCGCACGTTATTCTGGACGACAAAGTGGTCGTTGATGAAGATGAAGATGCCACGCGACAGATCACCAAATAAGCCTTCGCTCGTCCATAAATTCGACGTGGAAAGTGCTCGTGACATTGCTCTCGACTCGTGTAACAAGTAAGGAAGCGCACTGACTTCATTGTATTGTGCAAACGTATCCCTGAAGCGAAAAGGTAGCCTAGGTTTCGCTTGTTTTTAATGCACGTCGAGTTCGTTGACCGTGAATAATCGAGTGTATTTCTTCAACAAGCGATTCGGTTTTACTTAATTAAGAAAAAATCTTTATTAATTCACAATTTGATTAGAATATTCACAGGCTCCACTGCCGTTTCTTTGATCCTATCAATTAAACGAAAAACTAATACCTTCATTGAAATTGATACGCAGACCGAAAGCATTTTCTAACCAATCAAAGCCAATAAAAACCAAACGAGCATATAAATTCCTTTCGCGAACGAAAAATTCACAAAACTGTTACATATAATCGACCGTTATTTCTTGTGCGTCTATATAGAAGTTATCTGAGGACACTTTCAAAGCTTAAAAATAAATTGCGACACTTGCGTAACGCACTGAGACAGAAGAACTTTTGTTCTCGTCTAGATCGATCGTTAGTTTTAAAGAGAGAACTTGCTTTGTTTATGCTATGTACCTTTTTTGTGAAACATTCGAGATTAGAAACCTTTTCTACGGTTTTTTTTTAAGACTTCGTGTGTTTGTCTTACGTTAATAATTCATTTTTTCTGAGGAATGTGATGCCGAATGGAAAAAAAGATTAACTTAGATGCCGAGGCTTCTAGAATTTCCCAATGACGTAATCTTCGTTTTGCTTTGGCACTACGGGCTACTTATCGTAGTGTATCATTTTTGCGTTGACGTTTACCAACTGCATTATTTAATAGTAAATTTTTATTATTCGTTTATTTTTCCATAATTTCAATTTGAAATCAAGCTAGAAATTACGTTCCACGAATGAATTTTTATCAAAATTATTCCAAATTTCAAATCAAAACGTTAAGTAAATAATAACAACTTATAAAAGTGCGTTATTTAATTGATCCACAGACGAATCTATTGGACGACAAGTAACCGCTCATCGCCAAGTATAATGCGTGCAAATCTCGATGGCAGCGATATGAAAACCCTGATAACTGAAAATCTCTACGAGCCAACAAGTATCGCAGTGGATCACACGAATTCCCGTCTCTACTGGATCGACGACGAGGAAGGTATCCATTACAAATTAGAAACGAGTAATAGCGACGGAAGTAGTCGCACAGTTCTTGTACATGGTACTCATCAAACTCCACTACATTTGGCATTGGATAAACAAAATCTATATTGGACGGAGATGGTTCACAATGCCATATGGAGGATCGATAAAGAGCCGCTAGCTGAAGTAGATTTACCTAAAAAATTAATATCTTATTACGAGAAGGGACAGTCTGAGCCGACGAGTATACTCGCGATGGATAATTTGGGAAGTGAAATCGATTGTAAATCTATGAAGATCGAAGAAATAAAAAGAGAGAAAATACTTGCCTCTACTTTGAAAAGTGCTAACAATCTTACCTCGGATGACGAAGACGTTAGTGATGATAAAGGGATTTGTGCTAATGGAGGTACTATCAATGGCACTGATTGCAAGTGTAAACCAGGGTAAATAATGATTTTCCTGTCCGAAAGTACATACTTTAATTTTCGAATTGTGTATAACTTTCAACATTCTCATTATAGGTATAGTGGGTCAAGGTGTGAAATTTCAGTGTGCCATAATTATTGCCTTCAGGGTGAATGTTTTGTTAACGACAAGGGCTTACCTGTATGTAAATGTAGTGCATCGCATAATGGATTAAGGTGTGAGCATGACATTTGCGATGGTTACTGTCTGAATGCTGGACGCTGTAGTGTCTACAATGGCAAACCTATCTGCGATTGCAAATATTCAAGTGGTGTTCGGTGCGAAGTTACTTTCAACATGGCAGAAATTTGCGCTTTGTTTTGTGTAAATAAGCAGCTACAGATTAATAGTGTGGATACTAGCTCCTGCAGGTATGACTTTATTACCAGTACAAGTATAAAGAGCTTAAGACCTCTCAACATGAAAATTTTCCTAATTTTTACGATTATTTTAGAGTTGAATCGCATAGTCAGAGATCATTTTAACCAAAGGTCTTATTTTAAAGAATTAAACTCCTGGAAAGTAATTAAAATCTTGATGATATTAACGGATATTGAACCACGTCTAAAGAGAAATGCCTTATAGCTGTTTTTCATCTTTTTTTATATGTATGATAAGTTAAATAATTGAGCTCAGTTGGTTTGAGCATGGTTTAAAAGTTATAATAAATAGGGAAAGTTTAATCTTCAAAAATTAGAATACCAATTATATATTTTATTTAAAATCACGCTCAGTACATTAAAGTTTTTCAAAGTTTAAAAATCTCATCAAAGGCTAAAACTTTTTAAAACATTTGAAAAAAATTCAAATTTTCTAAATATCTTCCAAAAATATTAAATAAATAAGCCCCGAAACCTGATGGTAATTCTGAGATGAAGATTATAACTATATAGAATTCTTATTAGAACAAAAAAAAAAGGATTCTTATTAGTTGTAAAATCGACAATTTTCAAATTTAAGAAGCGTTTAATTTTATAAAATTTAATTAAAGTATAATAAGACTGATTATGTTACTAACTAAATTGGAAAAATTAAACAGGTGTACCGAGTTAAATCAAACGATTGAAGAAGTTCTGAACTACGACAATTTCAACTGCACATTTCTGATGCCATTGCTAGCTGTTATCGTTGTTATGATGACGATAGTTGTAATAATCTTGAGCGTATACGTGAACCGGTTGCGACGAAGGCCACGTGTGAAGAAACGTTTCGTGGTGAACAAGGGTGGCGGTATTACCCCACTTACCTCTAGGCCTTCACAACTCACCACAGATCAGTGTGAAATCACGATCGAGAACTGTTGTAACATGAATATTTGCGAAACTGTAAGTCCAAAATTAGCTAAAAAGCAACATTTTTGGTGTTTGTAATTTTTTTTTTATTTTTCGGGCCATTTGTTTTTTCATTAGATATTGTTCTTTTTCTAGCCTTATTCATTTTGTTTATTTATCAAACTTCGTTCACATATTGTTACAAAGTTTATTTGTATTATTACATTCATATCAGTGTTTTATTTGAAAAGTTTGTGTATTATTAGCGCATGAAACAAACAATATGTTCGACAATATTGGTGTGTGCGAAACTAGATGGTATTAATCCTTTGCTGTGATTTCTTTTTAATGTTCCAAGCTTGTTATAATAACATACAAGAAAAAGTATTTGTTTTGTGCGCAAATTTTTTTTATTCTTTCGACAAGTTGTATTTTTGCGATTAATAATATTTTTTACGCGCATAAGATATTTAGCGATCTTGCTTTCGTTTCATTGAAGATGCCATTCTTCTAACATTACAAGAAAATTCCTCTCTCATTTACTTACAAATTCACGTGTTTAGCATAGGCATTATGCAACACGTGGTTTCCAGAAACTTCATTATTCAATGCTTCTAACACATAATTGAATTGAAAACAAAATAAGGTTTGCTTGAGAAAGCTAGCATTCAGAGTATAAATAAAAATGTGGAAGCCGCAGATGCATGTGAAAAAAGCAATCATTTATGTCATTATTAGCGTGAAACCTTAAAAGAAAGTCATTGACAATTAATATGGATCGGTGTAAAATCAGAGGCCGCTTTTCTTGTGTGTGTTGCAGCCATGCTTCGAACCGAAATTGCGCACATCAATCACAAGGAGCAATGTCATTAAGGAGGAAAAAAGCAACCTCTTGGACAACATGGAAGGTGGCAACAACTCATGCTAGTACTGACTACTTGCCTTTGTGCCCCCATTTTTTGGAGACTGCGTTTTAGCTCACATTGTGAAATACCATTGTTAAGTATTGTTGTTAAAGTCCTATGGACAAATTTGTATAAAATATATCAACAAATCTCTACAGAGCTTTGAGAAACCAAAGGCTATCTGCGCTGAGAGAGAGAAAGAAAAAATAAATAGTTCGCGAAGGTATCTTTCGTGGGACTGTGTATAGAAAAGTATTTGAAAAGGATTTTTTTTTCTCGGCGTGTAATATTATTTTTTTGTAGACAACTTTGTAATAACTATGTGATTGGTCACGATGTTTATAACATACGTGCAACTATGAAATAGTGTGAGTCAAGTCAGCCCCTAAAATTTTAAATTTCTATAAGTTTGTACAAAATTTAGAATTTTATTTCAAAAATATTGAATTATAAGTTAAGTTACTTAACGAATAGAGTTCGTTGTTAAAATCGAAACATTTTCTTTACTTTGTTTGTTTGTACTTAGTATAATTAAAACAAATGAGTTACTATTTTCAAATTTGTCATAACTGTTATTGTAAAAATGTTGTACTAGGGGCTGGATTACATATAGCTTTAATGTAAACCACAGGCGAATCGTAAATTATACTTAGATAAATAAGAATCCATTAATTTTTCTGTAATAATTATTTTTAATTATCAAGTTGCCAAATGCAAGGAAATTGAAGTCAGTTATAAAACAAATTAGATGGAATACTTAATTGTTTTTTTTTTCTGAAATGGTTCTAAATATAAAGTTACTTACAATTTACAATTAATCTATAAACTGCTTAAACACGTGTTCATATACTGATTAAGTCTACTTGGACCAAAGTAACAAAGTTGCAAAACCACATTTATATTGAGAAAGATATGCTCGCCGTTTTTTTTGGTAATTTATAAAAGTTCGTTTTAAATTTATTTCACATTCATAGTGTTAGTTATCAAAACAAAGTTAAGAAAATTCATGTTAATTTGATGTCACCTCTTATAAGTTATTGTATTTATTAGAATCGCAAGTGGAGAACCTATATTACATTTTGTTTTATATATTCTTAAGTGAGTTCCTTTCCGACGAATTTCTCATAACGTTTACTTTAAAATCAACGTTCCTAAAGTTTAGAATAAAAATTAAAAAAAACATCATATTACTTTTTAGATGTTTTAAGTATTTTTATTATACTAATACGTGACCACGTACGTCACTGATTTGATCATAATGTAAACTAAAAAATCCGCGAAAGCAAATTTTACATCTGTCCGTAAAATTCATTAACGCAGCTGGTAAGTTAGTCAGTAAAGTCTGAGTTGATACTAATTTTTCCTAAATTGAATTATCATTGCTAACTATAACTACTGCATATATTTAATTAAGGTAAACTTAAAAATAGTTTACTATAAATACCGCTTACAAGAAAATCTCACTAACATTTATATATCGAATATATTTTTCATTATTCATTTATATATCAATTACATTTTATATTGAAATTTCATGACAATTTAAAGAATTAAGAAATTGCGTGATGCGTTAGTCTGTGCTCTTCCATGCAAGACAAGTAAACTTGCAAGTAGTACTTCTTGTTATAGATGCTAAATTTATGTGCAGATTAAATATATTTTATTTATATTTATATCTAAATAACTGACTTCATTCGTATCTTGCTAAATAGAACACACTCGTTGGATTTCTTGCGATGCAAAAAATTTCAGTGCTACTTATTGTCACTGTTACTTATGCCAATAAATGTTCTTTGCAGAATCCATGATCAAAATGAATAATAATTTAATTTTTTCGAATCCACCTCGATTCACTCGACTGTTTCTTATGAGCACAAAACTTACTCCATAAGTATATTCATTCCAAAGTTGTTCAACAGAGATTAAAGTATATTTCAACGTACTTTGCATAATCTTTGAAGAAAATTAAATCTGTTATGATCATTTTGCTTATGGATTCAGCATTTTTGATGTTAATTTTACGGACTGCGCCGGAAAATAGCCCTCTCCCACACACTCATCCACAGAGTTGTGATAGTGGATTTATGGTGAAAGGGATGTATTCCTAAATAGTAGAAATGTTTCTTTTTTATACCAAAAGTGATCTTCCATGGTCGCTATAACTTTCTACACAATTTCGTTATGCCAACACGACTTCCGATTGGTCACTTTACGTATAAAAATGCTAAACATATTCCCACTATTATAAATATAAAAAAATACTTAATACAAATGGCCTTTATCTTGTATGTTGAATACTTTTTTATTTAAGAATACCCTAAAAATCATTACATCCTATCCTAGATTTCAATTCCAAAATTTTATTTTAGTAGATATTGTTTAACATTTTCTTTATAAGCAATGTTCGCTATTAATTTATTGCTATAGCTTAGAAAAGGCATTGTAAATCTTATCATTGTTTCAAGTGACAAGCTTCAAAATACAAAAAGATAGAATCTCGACATATGAAAATCGTGTTGGTGGTAAAATCAGTAATGAAAAGGTGTACGGGAAATATCCAGCCTAAATATTCCACCGATTCCATAGTTGGCAATATAACCATATATCTATAGTATCCCCATGCAAGAATACATGAAATGTCAAGACCTCTCCCACCCACTGTATTCTTTTTCTAATAAATGTCTTCCTGCACTCGTGCACTAACCGTGCAGAGTTGTTGAGTTTTTTTTATCAGAAATTTGTATATTTGGAACAAAACAATATTTGATTATTGTAGAAAAGAAATCGTATAGTAACTGTTATTCCATATTGTTAAGGAACGTGGTGAGCAGAAAAAAGGGAGGAAGTTGGATGGAAGTTCTATATAAAATGCAACTCTAGAAAGAGCATCGTTATTAATTTAATTTAACGCTATATTTATAATAGTTTCCCATAAAATCTAACTCCCAAAACTTCGTTTTTTTACAATAATTTCATAAGCTGGTTTGTCATTGTTACCATTTGAAATGATCAGTTTAGCTGGGCCTATTTATAAATTAATTAATTATTTATTAATTAATTTATAAATTTACTTGTAGTATTGCTTTGAGTTTTTCCCTCATACAATTCTTTCCGTAGCTTCTTTACGTAGCTATTTCCGTTCTTTAACTTTTATCGTTAAAGTAACTATAAACAACCCAGTTTTCGGAATGAACAATATGTACTGGTCCCTTGGTTCTCTTGTGTACGATGGAGAAAATCATTGACCCCGATACGTCATGAAAAAGATACAAATTGAGAGTATCTATAAATAATTAAAAAAGATTTTGAGTAAACATAAATAGTTTTCGCAAAGTCCTATTTATTATAGATGTAATAAATTTACTTTTATAAGCATCACCTATTCCTTGAGTCACGATAGCAACCAGATTTGGATTGATATATTTGTATAAAACTGACTGATCACTCAACACTTGACCCTGAGAGTGAACACGTTCGATTAAACTTTTTGAGACGACATGTGTTATCTGTTGTGTCTTTGGCGAGAAAGCTATCTCCCATACGTGAACGAAGGCAATGAATTTTGAAAATATATCACAATCTTTATGGAAGCTTTTAAGCTTTTAAATAGTTTTACACACCTTGTGAGCGATTAGATTCTGCGAGTTGCTATAAGTAAGCGAGTATCCGAATAATACACCAGTCTTTCTGTCGGCAGTGAAGATGTAAGTACATAGTACGTCCAGCAGAAGTTGCAACAGCGCTTGCACTTTCTGGAAAGACGTGCGCTCGGTCGTGCTTATTCAAAATAACTATACCACGTTAAAATATATCCATTAATGCATGTAACAAAATTGACTGCTTGATTTGGTAATTTAACTTTGTCAGTCTATCCAGTAGCTGTCCGTTTATTGGGTTGAAAGTGTATATCATTCCATTTCCAATGGTCTACAAAATTAATAATACTCTTAATTTTACGTCGACTTTAAAGGTCGCGATTGAAAATGCGGATAAAATTAAAAATTAAGTTGCCTGTTGCAAGCAATGCGCACTGAGGTGAATGCGGCAAGTGCCTACTTTCACGTTGAACATACAAAACTATCTTGTTAAAATCCTGAGATAAGCCTTTGATGTTATTGACTCGTGATTGCCAAATCATTTCACCTTTCTACCTCTACTCCGTACAGCTATAATAAATTGTTAATATAAGTCACACGAAAATTAAAATCAGTTTATCTATCGTTCAAGTTTGATATAACAGTTTCACCTTTCCTGACGATGAAACAGCTACAATCATTTTATGCAAACCAAATTTATCATGAACCAAATCGGCTCGTTGATTTGATTACTGTCGTTCAAAACCCAAAGTTCCTTGCATGAAAACGTTTATCTGGTTTACTTATAGAAGAGAATATAAATCAACAATTTAGATATTAACAACTCAAAAGAATACTGCAATTACTTAAAAATTAAAGCCTAGCGAATATAATACATCAGTTTATTTAGTCAGTCCAACGTTTGACAAAACTAAGACAATTGAATAAATTATACTAATAAAAAATCTATTTGTAAAGAGTTAACACGCTAATAAAATATTGTTATCTAATAATAATTCAACAATATAGTTGATTTTATATTGATACTCAAATGCCTGAAAATAATATTTTCAAACGCTTAATAAACCACCTTTTGATATGATGACTCTAATACTACTTTTTTGCTATCTAAATTAGTAACATACAAAAAGTCTATCCATCTATATATCGTGAAATAATTTTAGGGCTTTTCTCAAATAATACCACGCACTTTCTATTATTACTGCCGGCTCTAATAGATATTGCAGATATGTTTCCTGGAAGTATAGTGTAAACTTGTAAGGTCCTTGAGCACCGGAGCCAAATATAGTGTTAATTGTTATTGACTGAGGCTCCGATTTAGGTTCAAATATATTGATATAAAACAATAATGCTAAATTGTTGTCACCTTTCAAGCAAACATAATTTGATGCTGTTCAAATATACCTGTAATAAGTTATCTCCATAAATAAAAAACTCTATTTTAAAATAATTAAGATAATTTTGATATAAAATTTTTTACTCGGTTTCTTGAGATATGAAAGGTGCAGAAATTTTCTTATTTTTCAATTTTTCTTCAGTTTTACTATGATATGAGGTGACCTCAGTACCATTATTATAAATTGGTAGAATGTGATGTAAGGTTCCATCCTTCATGTGCCATTAAACATCTTCAATCCTGCAAACATTACAACAGTATTACTTGATTGAATTGCCTATGAAAATACACATAAAATGCATTTCATATTTTATCGAACATGTAACAGAAACTAATTCTATCAATATCTTATTACAAGATATTGAAAAAATATAGATTTATGAAAAATTCTGTGTACCATACAATTTATAATTGTAAATTTAATAGTGCACAGCAAAAAAATTGACAAAGTAAAACCTTTCACTATTGTAAAGCCCTGCTGTAGAATATAATATAAATGGAGAATAAATTCTGAAATAGACATTACAAAATTTAAATATGTATAAAAGTGATTTTGAATACTTTTTTATTGGATTATAAAATATTCAAATTCATGTAGCATTAAACTCATTAGTTGTTATATCTATTTATCATTAGTTGAAGAGCAGATTAATAAAAACTAGTTTGAAATTATAAATTGAGTGAATTATGAGAAAAAATAATACCTGTCTCAATTTTGTTCTGCTAATGTCCATTCATTTATTATATGTCCAGTAGCTAAATTGCAATAACGGACTAAAGCTGGGACACCACCATTCACTGAAATCAAAGCTGCAATTACATTTTCTTCAGTTGTAACAACTACTTTTTTAGCCATTGAAACCGTATCAAAACTTAAAGCAATGAATATCAGGAAAAATTTATAATTTAATAAATATTGTTTTTTATTTGCTTTAAATATTTTCTTCTACTTGCTCACATAGATCGAATCCCAAACGGAGCCATTATTATGTTAATTGAATTTTCTGTGGATTTTTTTCAATTTCACGTTCTGGATCAAAATTGAAAGAAACCAAGTAAATTGTACCAATAACTTATGGCATCTTGATTATTATGTTTTGAAGTAATCACTGTGCAACAAAAAATGAATAATAAAATTTATATAAAAAAAAATAATTATCTCAGTAATATTATTTAAAACTAAATGAAAATCCGTATACCGTATACCGTACTGCTCTGTTCAATTTGCTTGTTTCAGTCATCCGACAACTTGTCTGCAATCCATTGTTGCAAATAAATATTTCAATTATTTATATGACCGAATACCAAATAACATTTGAAAGCTTTAGGCTCTCTCCAGATAAGATCCGAGGGTCAGAAAACCGCGCGGTATTTTGCCACAGTTCGCTATTTCGCTCTGTTCCAATTCTATACTAACAATAGCTAAAAGCAATGGCAATAGCATTGTGATATGTCGGGGTCGGAACATGTAAACACAGTTGATTAGAAGAAAGTAACTAGTTAATTTACTAAATTAACTTTTTTCATTGTTATTGTTATTTTGTGTAGTTTTATAGATCAACATTATTTTTATTTATATATATTTTTTCTTCTAATCAACTATGTTTACAAGTTCCCACCCCAACAACGCTATTACCAGATTGAAACAGAGCGAAACAGCGGACTATGGCGAAATACCGGGCGGTTTTCTTTTCTGACCCTCGGATCTTATCTAGAGAGAACCTTATCCGCACGCTTGTTTAGATCTAAAATATGGAAAATTGATTATGATACATTTGAAAAATATGTAATAATTATCTGAATTTATTTTATTCATTAATAATTACACTCCAGTTAGACATTTTTAAGAACACTTTCCAATCATATTTCTGAACAAATTTATTAAATTTAACATTTATTTAACAGTAAAAAATTTGAATTATATTGAGAACAATCTTACCTTCCCATAATTTTCAAATAGAATAAAATAAAATAAGAACAATAACTATCATACGTATCATTTTTTAACACACGTTATATAAAAATATCAAAGGGAAATATTGCTGCGAATTAGTATTTCAATGAATTTCATTGATGAGCGTAACGAGTTGATCGATTGATGATACTTTGTTTTACTCATTGTTTTTCTACGTTTATCAAAACTATCGCATCACGCGCTATGAAAACTATATAAACATAGTTAAGCTTAGAGTACCGAATCCGAATATCAATAATGATTCAAAAACAATATTCACTCATTCGTTTCCCGCAAATCCTTCTATGACGTTTGTTAAGGTACATTCTCAATAAAAGATGCGTGAAAATTGAAAACGCACCTTAACAAACATGCTACTCGGCTTTGATCTGCGTGCAGCGCCATTGCTGCATCGTCACTCTTCAGCGTCACTTCGTTGCTCAACGTGAAGTTCGGTGCCGGGATCATTTCATTCTCTACCTCATTTGTCGTGCACCCATGAAGACAGCAGGCAACGCGCGCGTCCCCGTCATGGCCACCGAGGACATCGGCGTTTCTGCGCTCATATATGATTATCTTCTCAAAAAAGATTCTCAGCTTGCCAAGGTTTTCCAAAAGAAGACTAACGCTGTAAGTCCAATATCAAATTTTTAAAATCGCGTGAAATCTTGCTACTTCGTGTTGAGAGTCCCGCCATTTACTAAAGCAACCACGTGGACCCCGCTCGACTTTCTTTTTCAAATGATTTTCCTATGAAAATCACGAAATTTTGGGCATTTCGCCATTCAAAATTTGTTATTTTAATATTATTTATGAAACTCATCAATTAATTAACAAGATATTTCAAAATAATCGACTTTTTTGTATAGTCTTGCGTTTTAAGAAATACACGTGCTTTTTTAAACATGGACCGAGAAATCAAATTTTAAATAAAAATAATATGACTTTTTTATAATATTTGTTATATTTATAATATGCCATATACTTATATAATATTATATCATTAGGGTGATATAATATTTATTATATTATCTCATATTGATTATTCAGTCTCATCAAGTGAATAAGCTGATAATTATTTATTTACATTTTCAGCCTGCACTTAGTAAAGGATGCCCTTCAATATCAGAAGTTTTTCAGTATTTCCAGAAAAATTCTGCTAAAAAAGTTTCTGTAAAAAATGTCAAACAGAGCAACAGTTCAGATTCAAGTTCTGAAAGTGAAGACGAGACTCTTAAGAAGGCACCTCTTGCCAATGGTAAAGGGCCTGTTAAACAATTAGCTAAAAAGAAAGATGAATCGTCAGATGATTCCTCTAGTGAAGAAGAAAAGCTTGTTACTCAAAAAGTACCAACAAAAGTCATTGCTAAAGTACCAGTAAAAAAAGCAGAAGAATCATCTGATGATGATAGCTCAAGTGCAGATGAGATGCCTGCCCCTAAAGCTGCTGCTAAACCAACTCCAGCGAAACCAGTTGTACAAACCCCTGGCAAAAAAGCAGAATCTTCTTCTGATGAATCTTCGAGCGAAGATGAAAAGCCAGCTGCTAATACTGCACCTCAAAAACCAGCTGTAAAAGCCACACTTACAAAATCAGTTGCTAAGCCTCTTGCCAAAAAGAAACAATCTTCATCAGATGATTCAAGTGATGATGATGAATCAGTTGCTAAACCAACTCCAACAAAATCAATTGTTAAAGCTCCAGTTAAGAAAGTAGAATCATCATCAGATGATTCATCCAATGACGACGAGAAACCAGTAGCTAAGTTACCAGTAAAATCAGCAGTTCAGACTAAATTTACTCCTATTGTTGCTAAGGCAGCTGGTAAAAAGCAAGAATCATCTTCAGATGATTCTGATAGTGATGAAAAAGCCATAAAAAAAGCACCTGTCAAAACTCCTATAACACCAAAACCAGTAATGAAAGCCCCAGTAAAAAAGCAGGAATCAAGCGATGACTCAGATGAGTCGTCGTCAGAAGATGAAACACCTGCTGTGAAATCCACTCCTGCTAAAACTCCTACAAAACCAGCTCTAAAAGCTCCAGCAAAATCTGCAGATTCTGACTCAGATGATTCCTCAGACAATAAACCAGTAAAGCCAACTGCACAGAAAATAGTCCCAAAAATTACCCCTGCAGCAAAGAAAGCAGAATCCTCCAGTGATGATGACAGCACTGAAGATGAAACTGAAAAGGCTAAAGCTAGTCCTGTAAAATCTGTTGCCAAACCAGTTGTTAAGAAGGCTGAATCCTCTAGCGATGATGACAGCAGTGATGAAACAGATCCAAAAGCAAAGGCTACTCCTGCAAAACCAACTCCCAAACCTGTTAAAAAAGCTGTTTCATCCAGCGACGATGATAGCAGTGATGATGAACCACCTGCAAAGAAGGCTGCAATTCCTGTAAAGTCTGCTGCCAAAGTTGCTAAAAAAGAGTCTTCCAGTGATGATTCAAGTGATGATTCTGACGATGAGCCTAAAGTATCATCTAAAGCTACTAAAACTGTACCAGTAAAAGTAGCTGTAACAGTATGTATTTGATTGCAATTCATTAAAATATAACTTATTCATAATTATTAATTATTAATATTTTGAATTAAATGTTACAGCCTAAAAAAGCCAAAAAAGCTAATGATGATGACGATGATGATGAAGATGACTCTGAAGATAATCCTGAAGAAATTGAAACACCTAAATCTGTAGCAAAGTCTAGCAAACGAAAACACGAGAATAACGAGGAGAACGAAACAGAAAAACCAGCAAAAAAATTTGCTAAGAATAACTATAGCAATTTTGTAAAAGGAGGAGTACAAAATGGAGACAAGGTAAATAAATTATATTAAACTTGTAAATCATCTTATTCCAAGTGAGAATTATTAACCTTTTCTGCTATAATACAATAAAGAAGGCTACATTTATTGATTATTTTTCAAAATGCTCTTGAATGATTGCAATAAAAATTTATTTACAGAAAAACACACCTTTTCGGCGTGTGAAGGACGATGAAATTGAGGTGGCTCCTCATCTGGCCAACAATTCATTTGAAGCAAAGGTAAATGCTTGGAAACAAGAAAAGAGAAATATAAATCACCTGCCAATTTGATAAAAGGCTAAATTTTTATTCTTTCAATAGCTAAAAAATTTTTTATGCTTCAATCCTAAAATGTTTCCTTGCATTCACCATTGTTGTTGAATAATTAAAATTTATATTAATTATCTAATTTCAGATCTAATGTGATAAATTATTGGAATATTATAAACTATTTTATAAAACTTTCAAAATATGGCAGCTGATTTGTTGTTTCTCTTTTCTGTTTATAGGACAACGCGGAAGGAGCGGAAAATGATGGTTTCAAAAAACAGAACGGCGATAATTTCCGCGGTCGAGGAAATGGTTTTAGGGGCGGACGCGGTGGAGATCGCGGCGGTGGTTTTAGAGGACGCGGTCGTGAACGAGGTGGCGGCTTTAGAGGACGCGGTGGTGAGAGAGGTGGATTCCGAGGTGGTAGAGGCGGTTTTGGTGGTGACCGTGGTGGTAGAGACGGTTTTGGTGGCGAAAGGCGGTCTTGGGGTGGAGGTGACCGCGGTGGCGGCGGAAGAGGAAGGGGCGATGGTTTTAGAGGCAGAGGAGACGGTTTTAGAAAATCGTGGGGCGAGGGTGGAAGCAGAGGAGGTGGTAGAGGTGGTTTTAAAGACAGACAGAGCTTTAGTAATGATGCACAACCACAAAACAAAAAAATCACCTTTGACGAGTAAACATAAATAACAAATGTACGTTAATTTAGGGTAAGATTACTTTTCTCAAAATGAATAATGATTTTTAAGAGAATAAAATTGCATTAAATTGTAGTTGTATATCTACGTATTTTTTGTAACGTGTTTCTTTTGGTTTACAGCGAGGATCAAGAGGGTCGTGGGGAGAACGGGCAAACTTGGATTTGAAACACACTCGAGGTAAGTCTTTTCGCCACGAAAAGACGAAGAAAAAACGCGGTAGTTATCGAGGCGGACAGATCGATATGAGTGTTAATTCTATCAAATTTGACGACTAACATATATTTCAAGTTTGTCAACGAATGCGCATGCTAGAATTTTAAGAAAATGTCATTCTCTGAATTGACGTACTGCAACTTGTAAAAAGAAGGGATTTCTAGATTGAGGTCTAACATAACTGAAATTTATATATTATACATATTTTTGTTACAACGAAGTTAGATAGTAATTTAAACATGTTGTATCAAACCTAAGATTATTAATTGTTACGATGCAGAAAAGTAATTTGCATCGTAAAGTGTACTAATTCTAGAGCAAATAGAAATGGCTTTACAATGTGTCGTAAGCTCACATCACTGTTTTAATTACCATATATGCTATGAAGTATCTTAAATAAATTAGTACTTTTGCTTTCACACTACATTGTTTAAAACAGCTATTAAGTTTGTATGCGCTATGTTCGTTCCGTATAAATCGCAAGTATTCCATTTTTTATTTCACTTTGTCATGTAAATCAGTAAGATTTTTTATTGAAGAAAGGATTATTAATTTCTAGTTATTTTACTTAGCAAAGCACTCACATTGCGAAAACTGATCGGATGTTAAATCCTCTTATTGTTTAATTAGGGAATTCCTTCTAAATATTTTAGACCTACAGCTTTGTGGGTTATTGTAATTGCTCTGTTGATTTCAATACTTTTGATTTATTATCAAAAGTCATTCTGTAATATATTTTGTACTAAATTATATAAATTTCAAAATATTATATCTCCTCAAACAAACGTTTTAAATATATGTCATTAGAATAAAACTTGGTAGAATGTCAATTAGTAATATTTACTCAACATTAAAATCTTTACACTTAACTATTTTGATTACTTGTTTAATTTTATAATTTCTCTTATCTCACATGCCTAGTAAAATTTACCTAACATTACAATCCTTATACTTAACTGTTCTAATTACTTGTTTAATTTGATGATTTTTCTTATCTCATATGCCTAGTTTATAAATAGTAAAATATATTCTCATGTATGACTAATTTACTTTTACGGTTACTTGCACTTCGATCATTATACTGTTAAAATTATTTTTAGAGATTATTATTTGTTTCATAAGCATTTTTGTTAGAGACTTAAATTGAATATATAATATTTTGCTATTCACAATTATCGAGTTAAAGTTGAATAAATCGGTTGTTCAGTAGAAATGTGGAACGGTGTAAAGTGAGGTAGGAAAAAGAATGAGGTTGGTAAGGCAGAAGCGTTTCGTCCCGGCCCCAGATAACACAGTGACAGCACTGTACCGTCACAAGGAGTCATTGAGATTCGACGATCGGTAATACTTGCCACGAGTGAATGAATATTTTTCAAAAATTCGATACTTTTCAAAAATTTCAAAATAAAAATTACTTACTTTTTATCAATGACCTCTGTTATTTTCAAAAAATGACTCGATAATCTTATTTTTCTGCTAAAATTATTTACATTCGTATAATTAATAATATTTATATAATTGAGTAATGTTGCAAGCTTTATTTCTTATCGTATCGTATATTGTATTTCATATGACTTATTATTTATTGATAACATTACATAGTCGGTATAAATAAACTGTTTTTGAGACCGTCCGTAAACATGACCATAGAAACTATAAAAGAAATTAATTATTTAAAACATTATAACTGTTGCTTTCAATTTGGTTAATTTATTTTCATCGTTAAATATTTATTAGTTCACAATGTACATAAGTAATTATTTATTTCAGATTTATAAAAACAATAAAATAATAATATTATTTCTAATAAAAATGAGAGTCGACTAGGAAGATAATAAATCAGCAGGAATTCAGCAAAAGCATCCTACAAAGAAAGATGGAAAACGTGTATAGTGCAGAGAGCAAAGAAAGGCCTCCCGCAAGTAGAGTACTTATACTTGAGTATTGCTGTATGTACACCTATTTTACGAGGAAAAAACGATGTAGATATATATGAGAGGAGGCGATGCGCGCGCATTGCTCGTCCGTGTGAGTATCGTGAGTCAGTATACGTATAGCAAAAGGCGAGAGCCGCTTTCTGTTACTCTCGCACACGCACACACATATATCGCATGGAGGCGCAGCGTCTTTCTCCGGAGCCGGCTAGCTGCTATTCTCGGTAAAGCCGAGTGGGGCGCCGCAAGCTGAGCGCTGCTGCCACCAACGCTGCTGTTCGCCAACAGCAAGTCAGTGCGCTCGTAGCCGTCACTCGGGTATTGCGGCAACATTCGTACACTGCAATATATAACCAACACGACTCTCTCTTTCTCTTCGCGTGTGAGTCTTGGTTCTTTTAGTGTTCAGTGCGGCGAGTTCGAACAAATAGCTTGTGTTCTTGGCAAGCACGTGACGATGTCGTCGCGGTACCACCGCTGAAAGTGTGTGCCGGTGCTTGGATTTGAGTTTCGATCGGTAATCATCGACGCGCTGAGAGAAAGAGTCAGCAACAGCGCTACGTAAAGCAAAAAACATGGGTAGTACGAGGATCTATTCCGACGGCCACGAGATCGATGGGAGCTGGGTGCTCCGGATCTTCGTAACCGACCTCAACGTCGAGCGCAGTCTCAGAGTCAAGGGCGAGCTTCACATTGGCGGTGTCATGCTACGACTCGTCGAAGATTTAGGTACTTTGGAATACCTTTGCTTTTTATATGCAGTGTGCTTTTAGTCTTTTCTAAGGCTATAATCAACCCCGGACACGTATCGACTATATAGCCGGCATGCTTTTAAATCCGAAATAGAATCGGCTATTTGTGGGACTACTTTGAATTTTCATTGAGGCTCTTTCTCTCTCAACGACGACGTGGAGAGCAGCCGTCATGTATACGTAATCTGTTAACGATTTATTTGTTATCCGACCGTTTTCATGTATGTATCGGTGGCTTATTTTTTCATCTGATTCCAGTCTATCGCTGCGAAACGCTTATTATCAGATAAGTAGACGGTTTCGATGAATTCCGTTTCGCTTTCACATTTTAAAGTCTCGCTTGATTGGATTTGATACAGAAACTTCTTATGCCTTTTTATGCTGCCAAGTAAAACGCAGTTTTCTAGAAAGTATTCCAAAAATAAACTGACTCCGCGGCTCCGAAATAGAATGGCGAAAGAATCGATCATTTCAAAATTTGTTGGCAAAAGTTATTAAAACAGCGATTGGCAAAGGCATATTTTTAAACGTGAGTAAGCTCATTTAAAAACATTTCGCTTGTTAGCATAAGTCGATCGCGCGTGTATTGGAAAAGCGCAGAGTAAACAAAAGTCAGCTGTTAGCACGTACTATGGAAAACAATGGCAGCACGCGAGAGAGTGTCAAGGCGTGCTTATAGCGCAAACTGCAATTGCTTTGTCAATTTTTTTCCTTCACTCTCGTTCTATCACTCTATTGTCGACGATAATACTAATTGTAATACTAATTACAATATTCATCAACCTGCGTATAAGTAGCAGAAGTCGTGAAAGTATATTATTTTGCAGCGTGCACATTTCTAACTTGCGTTCCTCGTTAAACAGAGGTGTGTCCCTCAACTTCTTTTCTTTTTCGTTAGTGCAAATTCAATGTTTAGCCACATGATGAGTCGGCCGAGTGCCGGCCAGCTGGTCTCGAGCAAAAACTAGTTTTTTTTGTTTCTTTTTATTGTCTTCTAACATTTTCTTTACTCTTTGAAAACGCATCGCAGACGGGGCCGCATCGCCCAAAATTCTAGGAAACAGGCGCCCGACAGACGCTAAAAGCGTGCGCACACAAAAGATTCCTGGACTCTGCGGCACATCAATTCCCGCAAATTTCCGATCGTTAAACAGTTTTGGTGACCCCCGCCCCCCTCGTTTTCTCACACAGTCTCGTTCACAATTGGAAAAATACCGTGCTTGCATTGAACCAAATGTTGCGCAACCTGCGCACTCGACTGCCTACTTTTTTATGAAAACTCCATCGATGTTTAAAGGAAACTCATTTAAAACGCATACAAAAAAATGAGGCCTCTGTGTGTGCATGTGGCGCAATCGCTAAAAAAGGAAATGTAAACTTATCGCGTCGGTGTATTTTAATAAAAATGTCGAAAGTCACGGTTGAAAGATGGCGGGTGTCGAGTTGTCGATTACCTTGAAATGCATTTCTCCACACACGCGCGCGCGCGCGCACACACACGTATACAGCGAGCGCGTTCTAGAGGAAGGTCAATATTAGTTTTGTACAGCTGCGGCGACGAGAGAGCATTGAGGTGGGTCGCCTTTTATACACGATGTAATAACGTAAGAATGGACCTGCGCGTGCGACGCACATGTACGAGCCTACAAGGGGAGTCGCGCGCGCGCACAAATAGTTGCACTTGAATGCCCGCGGGCCAAGCGCCACGCGCGTCTGCATACGCGAATCAGAAACGTATCGCGCACAATAGCAAACGCAAACAGCCTTTGCCGTGTGGTACCGAGCGGAAAATCGGTCACCGAAACCGATCGGTCAGAAGTGCTCGGTTAATTACCCATCGAGCGCGGGAGGGGGGGAGGGGCGGTCGTTGAACGTACGAACCTGCGTGCGCGTAGATCCAAGTGCGATTCGCATAGACGAATGAATAATTGATGCGCGCGTTTAGCGCCATTAATCCGCCGGCGCCACGCCACTTACGACGACTTTAACGCGTATCTTGCTCCAACGATTCGATTGCTAATCAGGCGTGTGCGTATCGCGAGCTTACAATGTGTCGTTACTCCAAAACTCTGCTCCGACAGTATAACGCTGGTCGTCGTTGATGGCCTAGGAGAACAATAGACCATGTAACCAAAAGCGTACGAAAGGAAGGAAGAAAAACGAGAGAAAGATTGCAATACACGTATAGTGGTCAGGTCGCGCCCTATACGCGATATGTGCTCGCGACGCCGCATCTATGTGTATGCACGGCAGAGAACGAGGCTCTTTCAGTGTGTATCAGATTTCAAATATTCAGTAGGCGCGTCCTCTCTCTCTCTCTCTTTCTTTCTCTGTTCTCCTCTCAGCCTACTACACCTACAATAAAGCATCGGATTATGTCTACTTGTGCAACGGCGTCGTGCAAAATGAAGGCTTTGCACAGGCGGAGAGAGAAAGAGAGAGAGAGAGAGAGAGAGAGAGAGAAAAATGCCAAAGTCGAGTAAAAGTCTTGGTGTTAGTGGGAGGACAGCCTTGTCAAAACATCACCGCGAGAAGCTACTTATCACTGTCTCTTTGAGTCAATTGATCCACTCCCCGTAACGTAAACGCGCCTGGAATTTTCGTGGAATACTTCCAAAATAAAAGAGTCGCGCGCGCAGATGTTTTGGCGAAGCGTATAAGTTCGGCAGTGGCGCTGTTACTGCAAGAGACAGTGTCGATGCCCCAAATGTCTGCAGAGTCTAGGATGCATCTGGCGTGCAGTTGGTTCGCTTTTCTTTCTCTATGCAGTCGATCATGCACGGAGCTGCGCGCGCGCGCGTGCCTGCCTGCGTACCAAAGAGGACCGCGAGGAGCAACAAGTTGCCCCTGTTGTTTTCGACAGCCTCCTGTGCGCGCCTGCGCGTTTCTATATCCCAGAGACAGCTGGTTTGCCAAATGCTCACACGTATACTAAGACACGATCGACGTTGAATTCTATGCCTGTGAAAAATTATATTTCTATAAGACTGACTGATTAAGTTTAAGGTTAAATTGAGCAATTTAAATATTGATACGCGGAAGAGAATCGAGCAAAACGAGTGTCTAAATTATGCGTTGATTGTTAGAACGACGAAACCAGCGATAAGACGCATGCGAAAAGTTTGCGCAACATATATCCCCGGAAAGGATATGCGCGACGTGGAAAG